CAACCAAGATATAAATAGTTGTCCTGCTGTACTCTATCAGAAAAAGAATTTTAGAACAACCACCCTAAAATTATTAATACTATTGTAGGAAAAAGTTTAACCAAGGTAGTGACAGATCTTTATATTGAAACATTAAGACATTGTTGAGATTCTTAAAGGAAGATAGAAAATAAAGATAGCCAATGTTCATGGATTGTAAGAATTAATGTTAAAATTTCTATACAGATCCCAAAGTTATTTAAGATTCAATACAATCCTTATCAACTGTTTTTCTTCAGAGAAAGAGAAGAGTTAATTGTTAAAAGTACATTGTAACCACAAAGAAACCTGAATAGGCGAAACAATATTAAGGAAAAATAGCTGGAAACCATACTTACTGATTTCCAATTATGTAATGAAGTTATTGATGGTAAAATAGTATAGTTCCAGCATAAACATAGATCAATGAAATAGGGTTCAGAGTCCAGATATAAATACCCCTACCTAGTCAATTAGTATTTGAGAAGGCAGTCAATAGCAACAGAGGGGAAAGAATAGTGTTTTCAGTAACGGTGTTAAGAAAGTTGAATAGACATAGCCACAGAGAAGAAAGGCCGCGGGGGGGGGGGGGGGAGGGCTCCATAGCTACCGAGAATGCTCCCGGTCCTGAAGAGAGCCAAGATCACCGGGAAGTCCCAGATGGGGTAGGTGCTGCATCCCGTCTCCTCCAGAGGGAACCCCGGTGACCATGAGCCTCTACAAGCATAGCTCGCTTATGCAGGAACCAGGACTCTCACTGCAAACTGCTGGGACTGCCCCGGCACCCAGGTAACCTCTGACTCCGAAAGTCACGCCCACAACCCGCCCCCCAGCACCATCTTTACAGCACACAGCCACAGAGAAGAAAGGCCACGGGCGGGAGGGGGGTGGAGGGTGGAGGGGGGCTCCACAGCTACTGAGAATGCTCCTGGTCCCAAAGAGAGCCGAGATCACCGGGAAGTCCCAGATGGGGTAGGTGCCGCATCCCACCTCCTCCAGAGGGAACCCCGGTGACCATGAGCCTCTACAAGCATAGCTTGCTTATGCAGGAACCAGGACTCTTACTCCAAACCGCATGGCAGTGGTCAATGGAAAGTAAATTCTCCAACGTTTCTCCCTGGAAATCAGGCTTAACTCTTTCACAAACCGCAACACCAAATAGGAAAGAGAGACAAAAGGGAATGCCCTGCCACAGAGGCAGGGTGGGATGGAGATGGAATGGGGGGGGGGGACGGTTACTGGGATCCGTGGTGGTGGGAAATGGTTATTGGTGGAGGAATGGGTATTCAAAATAAATAAATAAATTTAATTTAAAAAATAAAAAAGAAAGTTGAATATCCAGAGCCACACCCATATCCCACAGCCGCTGCGTTGTAAATTACCCAGCTTCACCTTCCGTAATCTCAGAAGAGATGTAAGCCAAACCGGGAAAACTCATAAGCACACCAGTTTTTGGACTGAAAACTGGGCCACCCTTGGGAGGAGATGGACTGAATCCCCGCCTGCTGAAGCCTCGCAGCCACTGCTACATCCCACAGCCACAGCCATACACAGCCCAACTTCACTGCTTCCAGAACTAACTCTGCAGAGATTCCAAGCCCAGGCAACTTTTCAGGCTGAAAACTCTGGGGTCTTCTCCTGACACAGGTAGGCAGCCGTCCCCCACTCTCCCACGTAAATAACAGCCCAGCTTCATAGCTTCATGACTAACCTCAGAAGAAATGCCAGTCAGGCCAGGGTACACTGAAGAAACCTATGGACACACCAGTCTTTGGGTTGAGAACTCTGGCGCCCCCTCTGGAGGCGGGGTGGGAGGGCAGAGAATCGTCACAGGTCTGCTGGAAGATCTCCAAATTCCACAATCCTGACAGCCCAGTGGGAACACAGCAAATTAGGTGGGATAGTAGCTTAGGTTTCAACTAAGCTCAAAAAAAAAAAAAAAACCGATAACATAAGGCTCAACTGGCAACAAGCAGCTTAGTAAACCCTCAGTCAATGACTTTAATGGTACCAGTGTGAGATAAAACATTTTTCACAATATTTATTTATTTATTTTTTTACTGAAGTACTTTTTTGATAATTCCACTAGCCTTTCTGTTGTAACAAGCAACATAAAATAAATTTTGCTGTGCCTGCTAAGAGAGAAGACTTGGTGGATGGGTGGGAATTGGAGAAAATTCACACTGGTGGTGGGATTGGTGTTGGAACATTAAATACCCTAGTGCCCGAGACAACTATATTATGAACAACTTTGTAAACCATGGTGTTTAAATAAAGTTAGAAGTTTTTTAAAAGAAATATTTCCTAGAATGGCAATAAAGCCAATAATAATGAAAAAAGAAAGTTAGAAAACCATATGCAAAAAATAAAATGATCTTACATGATGCACAAAAATAAATGAAAGATACACTAGATAGAGAAAAACAATTCATATGCGGAGTCTGAAAAAAGTTGTCAAGCTCATAGAAATGGAATGTAGAATGTGTTTATTAGGAGCTATAGTCTAAGGAAATGGAGAAATGCTGGTCAAAGCATTTAAGTTTGCACAGTTATCAGATAAATAAATTCTGGGAATCTCATTTACATCATGGTAACTAGAGTACTACTGTATTTTATAAATTTACTCAAAGAGTAGATTTTAAGTATCTTCTCTTTCTCTCTCTCTCTCTCTCTCACACACACACATACACACACAGAGTAATTCTATGTGGTAATAAATTTACTAACCTGAGTGTGATAATCATACTTTTCACAGTGTTTATGTGAGAATATCATGCTGTACATAATACTTTGTACTTAAAATATATGTAACATTGTCAATTATACCTTGGCAAAACTGGAAGAAAGATATTTGTACTTAATGGTGTAGGGATGGAAGTATCTAGATCTTGATTTAGATAACTACATTAAAATATACATTTTAAAAGTTATTGAAATCTTTGTATAAAATTGGGTTTATTTCTTGGTATGTGAATGTTATAATTTAACTTTGTCTGTCAAAAAATAAACGTTGAAGTCCAAATCCTCATTACCTCAGTCTCAATTTTTTTGGTTCTTTGGTTCAGATAAATAGATCAACAACACTTCTATACCACCGGTGTATAGAAGGCCCTTGCCCAGTGTCCCTGTTTAAGAAAATCCAGGTAACATAGTATAATGCTAAACTTAAAAAATCAAAATACACAGATCCAAGGTTCTAAAATAAATATATAAATTTACATGACAAGGACTGAAAGAAAAGAAATGATTAAAATGGCAGTAGGATTGTATCCACTTTATTTTTTCTTGTTTGTTTCTACTTTCTAAAACTTTTGTAATAATATTGCTTCCATTCAATAATAAAATGATGACTGTATTACATACATCTGCTGAAAAAAACACTGATATTCTTTTCTAAGTTATGGATTATATTGTTTATATAATTAAGAATAACTCCCCTACTATATTTAATAAGACATCTAATAAAATTATATATTTAATGAAATTTCATTTCTGGGATTTTAGAAATTATCTAGTCTTATCTACCATGGAGTAGACAAAAAAATTAGATCTAAAGTTTTCGGTACATATGCTTATGTTCCATTCAGAGACAAAACCACTTTAAACTCACGTTATTTCCATAAAGGCTGAACCAGATGATATCCACAGTAACAGTGGATGATGGTTGCTTTCTCACTACAATCCTGCCAACACTGTAAAATTAAAGTCTTTTGGGTATATGCCATTCACAAAAGATAGGAATAGAACCGCCATATGAAGCCATACTACTTCTTGGCACCTATCCCCAAAACACAAAAACCATAAATTTGAAAGGATATATGCACACCTAGGTTCATCACTACATTTGGTACAATATCCAAGATATGGAAACAATCCAAATGCTCAACTATGGATGAACAGATCAAGGAGTAGTATCAATCTATTGATTGATCTATCTATCTATACACATTGAAATACTATGCAACTTTAAGAGGAAAAAAATCCTGCAATTATACAGAAACATGGATGGAACTAGAGGATATTTTGTGGAGTGAAATCAGATATATAATGATCTCTTCCATATGAAGGACTTAGAGATACACAACAAGGTAGCAACAAAGGGCCAAAAGCAACATAATGGGAGAATTGATCCACACAACTGAGTTGGGAGATTGGGGGATTAGAATTCTTGGGGAGAGAGGGTGTATTCTGGTGAAGGTGCAGTGTTGGAATAAAGCACATGAGAAATCATTATTAACAGTATTGCAAACCACAAAATTGCAATTAAAATATTTTTGTAAAAAACTCATAGTATTTACTCACTGACTGGCACATCTTTAAGACGTGATTCAATAAGACATAAAACTCTATCATAATAACTCATTTTAAACAAGTTTTAACCCTGATGTACCACCTTTACATTTACATTCACTTTGTTACCATTTGAAACTATGCTATTATTTACAACTCTCATCTGTAACAATTTAATTATTAAACACCCACCAACATAATTTGACTTCTAAATTTCCTTTGAATTCGCATTTTATTGTTGTTACACTTTTAGCTAAAATTTATCAACCTATGAGTCTAGTTTGTGTTATTGTTACCAGTATCTCAGTATTATTGTATCTTTGCTTTTTCATCAAGGGTTTATTTCCTACTTTATCAGTTTAGAAGCAGGGAAGATATGATTAAATATACTCAGACACAAATCCACTTGGAAACATTTGGAAGCAATTTCAATTTACATATAATTTTTTCCAAAATGATTTATTTTGTTTGTTCTAGTCTCATATTTCTAATGTGAGGGCAGGAAACTTAAATTGAAGGTCTTCTTTTGGATCTTGGTCTGGAAAAATAACTCTTGAGTTATGGGAAATAAAGAGTGAACTCCTTCTAGTAAAACTTAGACTGTTGCTTTGCTAGCTAATGTCTGTTGAAGATTAGTTTAAGACCCTCCTCTTCATTTTACCTGGATTTATAGAAATACTTTTCAACTTTACCTCTGATGAAAATGTGGGTTTTTTTAATGGATATGTATCTTCAATGCTTTGACAGAATAAAGGTTCTCCTTTTGGGTATAACATGTCCTCTTGACTTGGGTATTCCGCTGGAGGTATTATTTCCTTGTCTTCTGTTATTATTACGTTAGGAATATTGAACGTTGGGAAATATGTCCCCTTTTCTGATTCATAACTTTTAGAAGGACTAAGTGTTAAATTATCTTCATATAGTTTCTAGAAAACAGCAATAAAAATTATCAGTTAATCATTACTGACTAGAAAATATTTAGTTAATTAATACTGAACTTAAAATCTTTGTACCCTTATATTTTATCATAACCTGATACCATCAATATATTTAAATTACTGCATGGCCTTTTAAGAGTTATGGAATTCTCTTGCCTGAAATCATCAACTGAAATATTCATTTAAAAAAAATACATCAGAGAGATAGAATAGAGATTAAGGTGCTTACTTGCGTGCAGATGACCCTGTTTGATCCCCAGCATCGCATTTGTGGTTCCCTCTGAGTTCTGCTAGAGGTAATTCTGAACACAGAGCTAAAAACAACCACGCCCCCAGGTTCACCCCCGCCCCCAAATGGCATTACTCTATTATAAAGCTGCACTTTTCACATACCCAGACTTCATAAAGCAGCAGCATCTTGAAAGAAAATCCAGAGGTCTAACTTTCTACTATTTATATATGTTAAATACAATATATACTACTAGATATTATAAAATATTATAAAATGAGAGGAAATTTTATTTATTTGGGGTGTTTGGGGCTATACTTGCAGTGTTCAGATCTTACTCAAAGCTCTGGCTGTGCTCAGGGGACTATATATGGGGCTGGGATCAAACCAAGGTTAACTATATATGAGGCAAACACCTCTATCTCTCCATGGGAAACTTCCATGAGAAATTTTAATGGCAAAATAGCAGACTGCAGTATTATAAAATCACCACTATATCTTAGAGGAAATATTAATGGCAAAATAGTAAAAAGTAGGCAATAAAATAAATGACATCCTATTAAGCTAAATAAATTTAGCAGCAATATGAAATTTCTACATTGCCTATTTTTCTCTTCCCCTTGGAATTGTGAAAACAATAAATATTTATAATTTGATTAGTATTTGGTAACCACTCATTGAAAGATAGAAATAATCAAATCCTAGTTGTCAAATAATATGGAAGATTCTTTTATTCTTTATTGATTTATATAAGGATTCACTATTTTATCCTAAGACTTTTTGTAAAATTAACTGAACATCAAATTTTATGTGAATACTACTTATTATCTCTTATAAAGCATTGAGTATTATTCCACCAAAAGTTTATAGCATATTAAATATTTTGGTGAGAATTTGTGAAAAATGTGGTTAGTGACTCAAAAGTAGCTGAAATAAGTACCAGGTTTACTCCATAGCTTGGAGGCCAGCTGCACATGCTAGGGGAAAAAGCAGCTCAGATAGAGAAGGGAGCATCAAATAAAGGGTGTTGGAAGGATCTTCCTAGGATAGGAGATGCATGCTGAAAGTAGACTATAGACCGAACATGATTGCCACTCAATGCCTCTTTTGCAAACCACAGCACCCAAAAGGAGAGAGAGAACAAAAGGGAATGTCCTGCCACAGAGGTGGGGTGTGATGCGGGGGGAGTGGGAGGGATATTGGGATCAGTGTAGTGGAAAATGGGCACTGATGGAGGGATGGGTACTCGATCATTGTATAACTGAAACACAAGCACAAAAATTTGTAAGTCTACAACTGTACGTCATGGTGTTTCACTAATAAATTTTTTTTTAAATGTGGTTAGTTTTGTGGCATTCATTTTTAAGGTGATTAAGCAAAACTTTTTTCTTATTTACCCCTTTTCAATTTTCTCATGTACTTTTTAACTGATATTATTTTATGCTGAAGAGCATACTTTAAATAAATTATGTCATAGATATTTTCATTACACAAATAATCATGACGATCTGAATAATTTCTTGAGTACTTTTTTCTAACTATAATTATTCCTTGATTGTTTGGTGTGTACTTCTTAAGCCATACTTGGCAGTGCTTACTCCGAGCTCCGTGCTTAACAGTCAGTCTCAGCAACCCTGGAGATATAATTCAGGTCTCCTACATGAAAAGTGTGTCCTCAACCTGCTGAGTTATCCCTCTCCATGTGTAAATATTTTATCCCTTTATAAACTAGAGTTCGATTCCTCCTCCCCTCTCGGAGAGCCCAGCAAGCTACCGAGAGTGTCTCGTCCGCATGGCAAAGCCTGGCAAGCTACCCGTGACATATTCAATATGCCAAACACAGTAAAAAGTCTCACAATTGTTACTAGGCCTGTTCAAGCAAATCGATGAACAATGGGAGGACAGTGACAGTGATAAACTAGTGACTATACTTTTCCAGGTTACCTTACCTCATTTGGAGTAATTTCATTTTTCTTTTCTAAAAGAGGAACATCTATATAGAAATTAATAGAATTAATTATTTATAAACCTGTAAACAGCTAATAAAATGTTAAAATTTTTTTCACCAAGAACAAAGAAAAACATACAATGAAGCAGCTGCTCAAGTATTTATACTGTCTAGTGAAAAAGAAGCTGATAAATCTCTGAGAAGTTGGAGAAGTTTTAAGAGGAAGGCATAATAAAATGATTAAGACATGCATGAAATGATTACATTTATATCTATTAATATGAATAGACATAACATTATAAAAATAGGTATGAATTATATTTTGCAGAAGTTAAGAGAAAATCAAATCCTGATGGTTAGTAATATGGTAATAACTGGAAAGAATAAAGTTGTATGTAACCAGAGAAAATGACTATTCAGAAGAAGCTGACTGAAGCCCTTATAAAATTTTCCTAGAAATAAAAACAATATGTATTTGGTGATTAGTCAAGAAGGATAGACACGGAACAAAGAGTAGTATCAAAATGAATGGGGGAAAAAAACTTGTTGCAGACTGTGACCATTTCATTTTCCCAAACCTTACAGATAAGGATATTGATACTTCATCTTTTTAGGGAGAAGTGGGGAGTTTGAACACCTGGTACTGTTCAGACTCAAGATTAAGTCTTGACAGAGTTCTTAGGGGGTATCTTCCAGCAGTGCCAAACTAGGGGATCATTCTAGGTCAGGAATTGGATCCCAGGGCTTCCTCATGCAAAGTTTATGCTACAGCCTTTTGAGCCATTTCTCCAGTTTACCTTACAAGGTTGATACAAATAAGGCAAAGATGTGCGCAGTAATATGCTTAAATACTTGATCACTTGGATCAAACAGATTAGGTTCAAGTTTAGACCTATCACACAGTCAAACAATTGCTATGTGACTTTAATCTGTTAAGTCTTTTTTGTTTTCTTATCTATAAAAATGTAGATAATTAAAACATCACCACTCAACTGAATGGGAGTTAATTTATGTAACCAAATATGGCATTCTTTTATAAACTAGTGATTATACTTTTCCAGGTTTCTTACCTCACCTGGAGTAATTGCTTTCTTCTATTGTAATTATAGGATGCTATTGGAATACCAAAGTAAAGTACTTACAGAAGAAGCATTTAGCAACCAGGGGCCCATGTGGCCTCCATTTTATCCCAAGGATATTCCAAGAGGTCACAGATGAAAATTCATAAATGGATGAGTGGGGCAACATGGGACAAGAATAGGGGGCCATCAGTAGGACAGTGGTGCAACAGGAAAGAAACAAATTTAGAAGGTATAACTGTCAGAAAAAGGATGAGAGATGCCGTAGTGGATGACCACTGGAACTTGAAACTCTTCCCCCAAAAAAGAAGTTAAGAGAATAAGAAAAGATGTCAAGCATTCCTGAGAGGAAACATTAACTTCCACTTTAAAGATCATAAAGGGGGGAATTCTGATTCTCTCATACCTTTTCTGATGAAAAGTAGACTGTTGCAATAGTGCTGCTATGTTCATTGATTTAAAAGATTATTAAATATATCAAAGTATGGGGTAGCAAGACAAAGCAGATGCAGAGAGTAACATATGTAAAACTCTTAAAATAATATCCTTATTTTATACCCATAAAATATAAAAATTTAAAAGATATAGTGAATGATACTGAGAGTATCCTGCCCACCCAGCAGAGTCTGGCAAGCTCCCCGTGGCTTATTCAATATGCCAAAACCCAGTAACAACAATGGGTCTCATTCCCCTGACCCTGAAAGAGCCTCCAATGTGGCACTTGCTAAAATTTGCTAAAATCTCAGGGCTAGGATGAATGGAGATGTTACTGGTGCCTGCTTGAGGAAATCGATGAACAACAGGATGACAGTGATACAGTGATAGTGAATGCATGTATTTTAACTTACTTTCTACTTTTTTATTGTTATTTTGTTCATTTTTGGGGGGGGACCACACCTGGCAATGCTAAGAGGTTACTCCTGGCTCTGAGCTCAGGTATTCCTTGCAGCAGTGCTCAGGAGACCATATGGGATGCCAGAGAGTGAACCTGGGTTTGCACGCAAGGCAAACAACCCTACTGGCTATTTTATCACTCGATTCCCAACTTACTTTCTAAATGAATGCTTTTCTCAGACATTTTAAAAGACTGTACTGTATTTTCTGATCATAAAATATCTTACTGATAATTTGTGGCAAGTTCTCATGCTAATTTCTTCTCTCTCTTTCATACACACACAAACACACACACACACACACACACACACACACACGGACACCTCTGCATAAGAGGTGTGTCTCTATCCACACCCCTGTTCTGATCACCATGTTTAACAAAATTTACTTTTTAATATATTTTATTTAATATTTATCATTTTTCACATCCTAATGTAGAAAAAAACTCTAAAAACTAAATTCAACTACTCATTGGATCTAAATATTTACTCTGGAAAATTATAAAATAAATATTATACACCAATAGTATAATGAAATACATATGTAATTCCTAACAGAAAATGAAATCGACCTAACACAATAGTAATTTTTCTCTGGTAACCACATTGTTTCAAATTTTCTTACTGATAAATTCAAAAAGAAGGTAAGTTTACAAACCTGATGTTATGATGTCTTCAATTTTCTTTTTAAGTGGTGTTTTATGTTCCTCATGGCGGTGAATTGCCTATAAGCAAAAAAGATATAAAGAATGACAGAAAAAAATACAATGAGAATTATTTTAAGAGCTGAAAAGTTTTTTCTCACCTTTATAACTTTTTTCAACCTATTTTTAATTTGAACTTGCAGAAGACAAAAAAGAATATAATTTTGCGAGAAAAGCAATTCAGACAGCAGCATCATTTAAAATTTAGACACATTCTAGTTAGGGAGTTGATATCCTAGGGAGAATATGTAAAATAATTGATAGGGTTATTTTAATAATAAAAATTATAATATAAATAAATTACAATCAATAGTTACTGATCATATCTCAGGGTTCTTTGTATTGGGGGCTGTCTGAGATGGGGCTCAGTCAGTCTGTAGTGAGTTCTACAGTGAGCAGTACTGTGATAAGAAGGCAGTAGAGTATGTGGTGGTGGGGGGTGGGGGGTGGGCAAGAATACCTTGGATACGGCAGAGGGATCCTGGCACTCTGGTGATAGACATGGTACAAGCACACTAGTTTTTGTTTTTTAAAAGAACAGTGGTGGTGGTGAAAATGTAGTAATTTTGTACATCAAAACCATAAATATTAACACTATTGTAATCATGTTACCTAAAGCACGATACAAAAATTTTAAAATATTGGGCCAAAGTGATGCGGAGCATGGCTACAGGCACTGGAGCAGATAAGACTCAATCTTGCAAAGTGGCCCAGAAGGGAGGCTCCACAGAAGGGAGTATTGGGGCAAAATTGGCAAGAACAGTAGGGCCTCACTTGACCCCCTAGTCACAAGACCCAAGACACAGAAACTGTCACATATGCTTAGTAAATCATCCTAACCACAGCATGTAGCCTTAATTGGGATTGGACCCAGGCAAAGTAAAGTAGGAAAGGTAATAGGCAATAATGCTAAACTTTGTGATTGGACCTTCCTGTAAAGCCAAGACCCTCTATAAAATAAGTGTATATTTGGCAACAAGGTGAACAGCCATCAGCTGCTCCCGGAGGGTGTTTCTCCCCGTGCCTGTCACCCTTCACCCCACATATGCCCAGACCAGTGTGCAACGCATTTGGGTGCCTTGGAAAAAACTTCCCCAAAAAAGTGATAGTAAAACAGGTGGGAAACTAGTCTTGGTTAATCATGCAGCCAACTTGGTTTAATCCCTGGCATCTCATATGGTCCCCCAAATCCTAGCAGGAATGATCCCTGAGTGCAGACCAGGGGTAAGACCTTAGCATAGGCAGGTGTGACCCAAATACAAAACAAATTTTTTAAATGTAAAAAGTTACTGAACAACAAATTAGTAAAACTTATTTTACTTTATTTTAATTTGGGGGCCACATCCAGCAGTGCCCAAGGTGTGCTCCTGGCTCTGTACTCAGAGATCATTTCTAGAGGTGCTTGGGAGACCGTAAGGCATGTCAGGTATCAAACCTAGGTCAACTGTGCAGAAGGCAAATGCCTGACTCACTGTACTATGCTTAAAAACTTAATGCTTTGAATTAGTCAAACTTACTGAACATCAAATTATTTGATGAATGCCAAATAGGATGACAGTTTATATATTTAGAATAAATGAACAATTCTCATCAATTTAATTTTAAGTTTTTTTCTAGGTTAAAAGCTCTATATGGAGCCAGAGAGATAGAGTACAGTGGCTTAGGTGCTTGCTTTGCAAGCTGCCAACCCTGGTTCTATCCCCAGCATCACATGTGGTCCACCAAGTCCTACCAGGAGTGATCCCTGAGTCACAGAGCCTAAGTACACCTGGGTGTGGCCAAACCCTCCATGGGGTGGGGGTGAGGGGTGAACTATATATGAGAGAACGCGAGATGGTACTCACTTTAGGTTTAACTTCCAATTTTGAATTAAGAATTTTTTCTAGATAGTCAACTTTATCCATCCACGAGTTCAGATTTCTATATTCTTCTTTCATTCTTTGCAGCCTAAAGAAATAAATGACTTATAGATTGGCTTGGAGATGTACTTTAGTTGTAGAACATATGCTTCTATCCATGCATCTCCTCCCAAGCTCCAAATTATTATCTGTAGTTGGTATAAATGCTTAAATAAAATGCCCAGTTGATATTATAGATAAATTATTATAATTGTGAAAATTTAACAGAAGAGGAAAATTCTGAGAATAGCAGCAGGGGGTTCTAGCTGTCTACATAAAAACATTCAGGGTATCTAGTTGGCAAACCCAAAACCCTAGAAACAACACTTACAACAAAATTTAAAACAGGAAAAATTATTTCATATAAAATTGAGATGCAGAGAATTATTAGCTCCAAATTTTAAGAAGTCATTACAATTTAAAAAAAGAAAAAGAAAAAAGAATGCTTGCTGGAACTTATTTTGCTAGAAAGAAGTAGACCAAGTGGTACTGTTAGAGAAAAAAGAGCAGCATCTATTACTACTGCTTTGTAAGTCAGATTCACAAAGAAAACAGAAACTGAAATCTGGTTTCCAGTGGGAAATTCACAACAGGGAAGCTTACCATGGGGTGGGGGTGGACACTGGGTAGATAGTAGAGGGAAGTGGACACTGGAGGAGAGTGGAATGCTGGAATTTTCATGTATGAAACCATACTGGTAGCAGTTTTGTAAACCACATTGCTTAAAATAAAATGTTAAAAAAAACGGGAGGCAGGAGCAATAGTAAGTGGGTAGAATATTTGCCTTGCACACGGCTGACCTGGGTTTGATCCTGGCATCTCACATGGTCCCCCAAGTACTGCCAGGAGTAATTCTTGACTACAGCCTCAGGAGTAACCCCTGAGCATATCCAGGTGTGGCCTCCATAACCAAAAGTAAGCAAATAAATAAATAAGGAATTTAATTTTTTAATGCAAAATAATTTTTCACTTAAATATAAGAATTTTTCTAAAGATTCACTAAATGAAATTAATGCTAACAAAATAGAACTATTGATAAATTTATTTTTATTAAGAATTTTTGCTTCTTAAAATAATCCTAAAATGAAGAGATGACAAGTACACAGAGAAAATACTTTTAAGCCATATAAACTAGCCAAAATTAGTATCTGAATATAGAATGACCCTCTACAAATCAATGACAAAATATTTTAAAAATCAGAAAAATAAGCAATGAAAATAAATTGACTATCCCTCAAAGGGAAAAAAGTCAATAATTTAACAAATTTAAAACTAAGAGAATAAGTAAAAATAACTTAATATTCATTAGGTAAGATAAATTTTTTAATTCAAAATAAAGCACTTTAGTGTATGTAAATTAATAGGAATTCTTATGCAATGTTGGTGGCAATTTAAAGGGTCATGACTACTTTGGGGTTTTTTTGGTTTGGTTTTTTTTTTTTTTACTTTTGAGGTCACACCTGGTTATCATAAGGGGTTACTATTGGTTCTGCACTCAGGAATTATGCCTGGCAGTGTTCAGGAGACCATATGGGATGCTGGGGATTGAACCCAGGTCAGCCATATGCAGGATAAATGCATGTACTGCTCACTGTACTGTTGCTCTGGCCCCAAGGCATGACTAATTTGGATAATTACTTGGTACCATTTTGTAAAGTGAAATATTTGTTCATATTTGATCCAGATAATCTACTTCTGAAGAAGTAACACACATACTCAACAGGAATAATGTACAAGAATATTCAAAGCAGCATTGTTCACAAATAGCAAAACACTAGAAATGATCCTGAGACCATAGGTACAATTCTGAAATGGCTTGCAGTATTTCATGGTCTGGTTTGCCCTCCTCATCTAATTCACCCCCTTGCAGTGGAAGTGTGAGTGACTTATGAGCATGATTTGTTGTTCACACATCTGGGTGACATGTGCCTCCCTAAAACCTGTCAGCCACACTACTGGTTGCTCTGATATGCAAAAAGAAAGTAAAAGAAATAAATGGTATATATTTCACAGCCAGTGAAAATTTCTGAAACAATAGCAACTTTCTTCATGGAAAAAATAATTTTTAAAAATTCAAAAAAAATTTTAAAGCTTTTGTTTTAGTTTCTATGTTTGTTTTTGCTTTTGTTTTACCTTTCCCGAGGCGGTTCCTTAAGTTTTTCAAGTTGTACTAGAGGTTGATAACTTGCTTGGGTCACTACAGATGGCTTTCCAACAGCAACATTCAGGTCTGGGGATAAGAATGCTGGATATTCTATTGACTGTGGAGTAATTACATTCCTGGAAAATGTTAATAAAAGTAAGTATTAAAATTTCACAGTCCTATGTGGGGGTGGGGGGTGGGAGGGATACTGGGCATTGGTGGAGGGATGGGTACTTGATTATTATATAACTGAAACTCAAGAACGAAAAATTGTAAGTCTACAACTGTACCTCATGGTGTTTCACTAATAAAAATTAAAAAAAAATTCACAGTCCTGAAATCAGTGGTAACACTTTTGAATTACTGTCTCATTTATTGCAATCCCTTCAGTGACTGCAGTTCCCACTGAGGGTGGGCCTCAGAGCAGGGCCATCACAGCACTCTTCAAGGATTCTGGGGCTCCCACATAATTGTACTGCTCACAATATAAGAGGTGTGAATAAACAGTTTCCTCCTAACATTTCAGTTTCCATCAGCCTTAAAATTCCTTCCTCTACATTACAAGTCAAGGCATCCTGACATTTCTGACTTGCTCACTTGAAGGTCACTAATTCATGACTCAGTTGCCAAACCAAACAAGCGAGGAATGCCTTCCTAGTTTCCCAACATTCAATATTAAATGCATAATCTCAAGGACCGGAGCTATAGTATAGCAGGTAGGGTGTTTGCCTTGCATGCGGTCGATCAGGGTTCAATCCCCAGTATCCCATATGATCCTCCAAGCATAGCCAGGAGTGATTCCTGAGTACAGAGCCAGAAGTAACACTTAAGCATCACTGGGAGTCACCCAAAAGGCAAGTAAATAAATAAATAAATAATCTCTATTTAGTCTTAAATTTAGCTTGATTTATGCTTTCAACTATTATCCCATACTGCTGAAGCCCACACATATTCTCTGGTCAGAAATATATGCAAATTAGAAAACTCAATTAGCTATTTTCTTGGAATGCACTCCTCATGGGTGACACTTAGAACCTCACCTTAGGAACTTGCAGGGACTTGAATCTGGTTAAAGATCTGGAAGAAAGGCATGGTGGGAGTGGGACTTAAGAATTAACATGGTTTTACATGAAAATTGTCTCAGAAAAGTTCATTACTATTTAGTCCATGCAATTCAGGGTTAGTCTACTTAGATGGAAAAGGGTTACACCTGTGGGAATGGTGATACCACTATCAAATGGATTATGCTTGGAGTGTCACAGACCCACTGTGCCAATAAGACATCACTTACGTGACAGGGTCTGTTCTTTCTGGAGGTGGTGCAACAGTCATAAACATAGATGGCGCAGGAACTCTCCGAAGAGCTTGTAACTGAAGAAAATGGTACATACATTTAAACACAGTTCACTTACAACTACATAGCACTATAATTCCTCCAATGTCCGAGGCTACAGAATAAGCCTTAAATAATATGTATAAGGAGAAGAACGGGGAATGGAAGAAAGAACTAATATTCACTGTGCACTACATATTTGCCAAAAGTTATTATATTTTAAATATTTTAAAATTTCATGTGTATATTACTTCTGATTTAAATGCACTATAAATAATTATAAAGGTCCATAAGCAAAACTGAAAACATATTTTATAGGTATTTCTCAGTTAGAATAGCAGTACACTTATTTAATAAGACAGATTGACTCAGTCTCAATTTCTAATTTAAAAGTACCCAAGACAAAAAAGTAGCAAAAGCTGGAAATGTAAGGTACAGGCAAAGTCTAGGAGTCATTGCCTTTATATAAAAATACTACTTAGTCTAGATTTATAAAAACACTTGGTGAGATTCTGTTGACACAATTTTTTTCTAGAACACTTCCTTCAATTTAGGACTAATTTTATAGGGCTATACCTGGCAGGATTAGGGATGAGGTATGCCATGCCAGGGATCCAACTCACGGCCCTGTCTAGCATGTATTCTACTGCGTAAGCTATTAGAACAATTCCTAGAAAATGACACTGTTTTGAACAATAATTTCCACACAAATTGTGAGAATCTAGTCTAAGGACATGACAAATAAAGCACATAAGTCATTGTACAAAACTGTACACTGCAGTGTGGACAGATATAGTGAATTTAAAAGGACATGCCAAAGCTAGGATATTTTTGTCTCTCCTGATGAGCTAATGAGGGTCAAAATAATACCAGATGCTGAAATAATCATAAAGGAGCATATGTTAACAGAGGACAAACTATTATCTAATATCATTGACTTTATTTTAAATAAGTATGTTTAATTTTAATGATATAAATGTGTGCACAATCACAATTTATAAAAGAATTAATGATGAGCATTTGCATCTATTTTTCATATTTTGTTCTTCTGTTTTGTTTTGGGGCTATACCAAAATGTGCTCGGAGTTTACTCCTCGCTCTGTGCACTAGAATCACTCCTGGTGGGCTCAGGTACCATAAAGGGTGCCAGGGATTGAGCTCGGTTCAGCTGAGTGCTAGGTAAATGTCTTACCTGCTGAACTATTTGCTCTGGCCCTCTATTTTTCATATTTTAAATGTAAAGCAAATATTGGTGAGATCTTCATTTTATTTAAACTGGAGAAAAACAATTATTTTTAATAATATTTATTTTGAGAACCAGAGAGATAGTACAATGGACAGGGTAACTGCTCCGTGTGCAGTTAGCACAGGTTTGATCCCTGGCACCTCATGATCCCCAAGCCCTGCCAAGAGTGATTTTTGGAAACAAAGCCAAGAATAAACCCTGAGCACTACTGGGTGTGGCCCCCAAAAACAAAAATAAAAACATTTATTCTAAAGAATTTATCAAACAGTAAAAGAGAAACAGAAATGGATAATTCAACTAAAGAGCCATAAAATTTTTTTAATTGAATTACAGTGAGATACACAGTTACAAAACTGTTCATTGTTGGGTTTCAGTCATACAATGTTTCCAAGAATAAATTTTATAAGACAAAACAAACCTGATGTGAAAATCCAAAACCAAAGTTTCCATAGGAAAACATAAATTCTACCTTCAGCCTGCAGATAAACTAAACATGTTACAAATTAATTTTATTGCTTGAGTAGAAAGACATTGTAGTGGGTAAGTGACAGCAAATAAAATCTGGACTTTATAAATGTTAGAAAATCAAAGCATGAATCTCGATTAAAATATATACAATAACTCCTACAGAAGTAATTGCATTTCTCAAATGTTAAAAACTGTGTTAAAGTTAATGAACATTATATATTTAAAACAAGATGAAAAGCTTACAGTTTTTAATGGAATTATACTGAGAGTATAACTGTTTACAGTATTTACTCCTACTTTTCTTTCACCCTTTCACCAGCAAATAAAATTTTTATTTATACAAGTGATTTTTATCTCTCTAAACCCCACCTTGCTCATATGAAAAATGAAAGAAGTACATAAGACATTAAAACATCAAATATTTCTCATTTAATTTTGATTTTTCCTGTCCCTGTTTTGCTACTAGAAACAATACCATTTCTGAATAGAAGATAAATTAAATAGTGTGTAATTACTTTAATATAAATTTTAGTGAGAACTTAAACACTTTAGAAACTCTTTGAGAAGAAAAAGATTATTTTCTCAATTCAAAATAAGGTTTCTGTAGTCAGGCAAATACTTGAGGGGTGTGTGTGTGTGTGTGTGTGTGTGTGTGTGTGTGTGTGTGTTTTGCAATAGAAGGAATGACCCCAGAGCTTCACACATACTGGGCAAGTGCTCTGCTGCTGAGCTACATCCTGCTGACACATTTTATTCTCTTTTTTAATGACTTCTAATTTTCTCATTTACCACTTAATAGTAATAATTTTCAAAAGAGGTGGAGGGGCTGGAGTAAGTTTAGTGGGTGAGGCATTTGCTTTGCATGCAGCTGACCTGAGTTCGATCTGGCCCAAGTTTGATCTCTGGCACCCCATATAGTTCATCATGCACCACTAGAATTGATCCCTAAGTGCAGAGCCAGGAGTAAGCCCTAAGCACTGCGTCAGAATAACCAACAAATAAATAACTAAATAAATAAATAAGGGTGGTGATAAAAATTTGTGAGCAAATAATATGTCTTCCATTTATTATTACAGTTCTGTGAACTTATAGAGCATTGAAAGATGTAAGCTACTTGTTCTACAGTATCAGAGTAAGGTTATATGAAATATTAAGTGTGCATAGAATTTTGGAAATTTCAGTAAAGTTCTTACATTCTGTTTATGAATCATTTCAAATTCTTCAGTGAAGTACCCTTTCTAGAAAAAAAATAATTAAATGCTTAGATATAGGATCATTCATGTAGTTACCAATACATTGTATAAATCCTTTAATAAATCTTTAAACATCAGGTAATTAATTATTTTTAATGACTACATGAATTAATCACTAAAGTATACATTTACAAGACAATTAAAATTCTAAGTATGAGGAATCAAAATAAATGTTAATATTCACATTTATGTTATAGGAAAATTGTTCTTACATACAAGTTCCCTTATTGAAGTCAGAGGATCTTCAATACCCACACTCTTTTTGCGGGGTGACTTAGAAATTTTCATGATTTTTACAAGACAACTCCTACTAAAACTAATCTTCTCTCTCATCTCCCTAGATCAACTGAAACCCATTTTTGTTGTTATTTGATTGTTTGGGGGTCACAGCTAACAGTACTCAGGGTTGACTCCTGGCTCTGTGCTCAGGGATCACTCCTGGCAAACTCAGAGGACCATTTTGGGCGCTAGGGATTGAACCTGGGTCAGCTGTATGCAAGAATAATACCCTACCCACTATACTATCACTCTGGCCCCCACTACTGGGACCTTTTTAACCAGTTATGATATTCTTGGTCAGAATCTCTGGTCATCTTTGCTCTATCCGTTCAGTTCACTCACCAGATCCAACACCCCAGGGTTTGATTTCTTCCAAGGACTTTCCACTGTGGCTCATGAAATACCCAACTCCATAATTAACAAATGTCTTACATTAGTAACCGCTTCCAAACTTATCTGCCACTAAATATTTGCTCTTCACCTTACCTGATATAAGTCCCATTAAAGATGCTTCACTCCTTACAGACCTCTGAAGTGAAGATTCACATACCTCAACATGAGGAGTTTAAATACCATCCTCCAAACCCCCTTCTACTGCTTTCACATCATATTACTTAGGATAGCTAAAAGGAGTCTCCTGCCCGTGCACAAGCTGTCCTAGTCGGGGCCCCTTGGAGGGGAGCAGGTTGAGTTTCCCTCCCCGCCCCAACCAGGGCTCTGGCAGCCGAAGACCTCCAGAACCAGCCACCACCATGCTAAGACCACTCTCCACATGCATGAAGGTACCGGCAGAGGAACAAAGGCATGCGGGTCCCGGAGCTGAGATCTCCAAGCCTACTCAGATCAGGGCTGAGCATCCTCCACCCAGATCCTCCACCTTCCAGTAGGCAGGGGTCACACCCAACAACTGGCCCCCTGGCGCCGTGTAATCCCATCAATGGCCAAGATCCAGAGACTATAAAACCCAGCTCCCGGAAGCATGCGGCCACATTTGTGGCCGCATGACATCTTATCTCATTCTTACTTTGGACAAACCTGGCAGGTTACCGAATGTAACCTGCCCACACAGCAGAGTCTGGCAAACTCCCCGTGGCATACCCAATATGCCAAATACCAGTAACAATGATGGGTCTCATTCTCCTAAGCCAGAAAGAGCCTTTAATATGGCACTTTTTAAAAATCTCAGGGCTAGGATGAATGAGACGTTACTGGGGCCTGCTCGAGGCAATCGACAAACAACAGGATGGTCGTGATCATGATCGTCGTGATCAAGGGAAAAAGGAAAAGACTATCTTAAATGCCTTTCAAACATTCTGACCACCAATCTATTCAAAGTAAAAGCTTTGGCACTGGCTCATATTTCTTCTGCAACCCCAAAACATAATAATCGACAGAATCTATTTAACCTAAGGCATTATAATAGAGGAAACAATTTAGGTAGTCAATGGCTGTTATCACATAGAATTAGCATATTACACATTCTTCACATAAAATTATAAAATTTCTAGGAATTCACAAATAACTGAAACTTATTTCCATAATCATCTTATCACTCCTTTATATAACTTTATTTAAACACCATGGTTTACAAAGTGTTCACAATACAGTTGTTATAAGCTTTTAATGTCCCAGCACCAATCTGACCAACTCCATGCTTATTCTCATTTTCCCAAATATCCCCTAATCCTGACCTTTTATCTGGTACACAATAATATTTTTTATATTACTTGTTACAACAAAATGACAATGACTAAAGGAATTATCAAAACTCTTCAAAAAAGAAAATGTGTGAAAATTGTAATATGCTACCATGGGGTAGTTACATCCTTGTGTGATGATTTGCTAAGCTGTTTGTTGCTGGCTGAGCCTCCTATATTATTTTGTTTGTTAAGTTTAGTTGACGTCTACATTACTTTCTCATCTGATTTGGTATGCTCCTACTAGAATTTCAGTACCATGGAATTTGGAGGTGGGCCACATGGTCCAGAAAGTTCAGGAGTAGATCTGGGGTGAGTTTGTAGATTCTTAGTGAAGCTGTGAAGTTAAGCCATAAGCTATTGGTGTTGCAGTAGCAGTGATATCTGGGTGTGGCTGCTGGGGCTTCCACAAGGTGAGGACGTGACCCACCTCTCTCCTGAAAAGTCTCCACCGAATTTTCAGTCAGGAGCACTGGTATGTCCATGAATTTCAGCTGTGTGGCTTGCATCTCTTTGGAGATTTAGGTCGTGAACATGAAGATCAGGGCTGGTGGGTGAGTCAACATGGCAGCTATGAAAAGTGGGCATCAGGGCTTCCAGAAGTATGGGGAATGGGGGAAGACTGCCTGCCACTACTCAGAGAAGGCCTCAGAGTTCTCAGCACAACACCCAAGTTACCTGGGGTTTATGTGGTTTGAAGTCTGCAGAGTTCCTTACTAAAGCCATGAAGTTAGGCCAAGGGCGTTGGCATAGTGGTAACAGTGGCATGTGAGTGTGACTGCTGGTGCTTGGGCAGGGCGGGGACACAGCCCACCACACTCCAGAGGGGAGGGGACTGGTATGTCCCTGAATTTCAGCTGCTTAGTTTGCATCTTCTTGGTGATTTAGGTCATGAATATGAAGTGCAGGACTGGTGGGTGAGTCAACACGGGTGAGAACTCTTGCCTTTTTTTCCCCTTAAGTGTGATAGTTTTTAGTGAATGAAACTTACTTTAAAAGATGTGAGAGGAGAAAGAGAGGAAGTATGTGTTTAAGAGAGAACAGTCTTCTCCAGAGTGGGAAACGCAAGCAGACATAGAGACAGAAACAAGCAAGCAAGATATATACTCAAGGGAAAACCTGGGCTTGAAGAGGAAGCCAACTCATGCTCTCCTTAACATTCTTGCTCTTCAGAGTTTCCCTTTCCCCAAAGTAGGGAATGAGGAAACACCTCACTGTTCCAAGATTGTCTTTTTTCTTCTATTTTATGAACCTCATCTACTTTGTCCTGAGTTTGGCTCTTCTCTGCACAAATCAAGTTATATGGTTAGGTCTGGTGGGAGGTGTTTGTAATATAGGAGAGACTGAGAATGCTCTGAAGTACAGGAAAGTGTGATCCCTTATAATTTTATTGTAGTTTAGGTAACATGACTGCAATAGTATTAGCATTTATGGTTTGGACATACAAAGTCATTGAAAATTAACTACCAAAAAAATGCCCAACACTCAGATTTGCCAAAAAAGCAACATTAGACAATTTGCTTTCTATTGCTGGTTATGAATAGCATATGATGTCTCGCAGCCAGGCGATGTTGGAATACTAAAATTTTAATAATTAGGTCTACAGAGATTTCTGCCAAGATCCACTCAGTTCCAAGATAGGTTTGTATGTCCCTGAGATCATGACTATTAAGGAGCTTAATAAAAAGCCAGGGGGCCATTCATGGAGAGCATCTCAGGGTCATGTTGGGGTGGGGGTGGAGAGGGACCAGCTCCTCCCCTATCCCTTGAGGCCCAGGGTGTGATGTCACTGCTGGCCCATACTTGGATTTTCCAATGAGCTCTGGAAAATGGCAGCTGCTGGGCTTCCTGTGGAATAGGCGGAGAGATGACACCTTTTCCCATCTGGGATGGCCTGGCGAAGGTGACCTAATGCAAAATTTTCTCTACTGTTGCTGGCATATAGAAATGCAACAGATTGACTTGAGCCTTCTGATTTACAGTATTAATTCTGCCTCTAATATCTTTTTAGTTCAATTTAGGATTTAATGTATATCATGATAGTTGTACTTCTTTCACAATTTGAATGTTTATTTCTTTCCTTGTCTTATTGCCCTTGTTATAGTTTCCAATATTATGCTGAATAGAGTGATAAAATATACATCCTTGTTTTGTGCTTGACCTCAGAGGAAAAGCTTTTAGTCTTTCACCACAGAGTATAATAATATTAGAGATAAATTTATGATATATGACCTTTAGTATTGATGTATTCGATATGCCAAAGACAGTAACAAGTCTCACAATGTTACTGGGCCCATTCAAGCGAATCGATGAGCAACGGGAGGACCATGACCGTGACCTTTAGTATACAAAAATTTTAATGACTTTTCATTGAAAATGAGATGTTTAATTTTTTCAAAAGTTTTTGCTGAAACTTCTAACATGATCATATGATTTTTTAAACTTAGTACAGGAAGATCTATCAAAAGGTTGAAGCACATGCTTTGCAAGCTAAAGTTCCAGGTCTATGTTCAATCCCCGGTATCACATGGTCTCCCAAGCATCAATTCATGAATAGGCCCATATACCACCAGTATGGCACAACTTCCTCCAAATTTGAAGCCCTTCCAAGTTGTATGACTGCCCTTCAGAGAGTAAATTATTTAATGTAGTATATTACAAATAAACCCCCTTTTCTTTTTATCAAAAGGAGATTTCATTTTGTTAGCCACATGAGTTTAAAAGCAGATTTAAAAAGTAATACATCATGCATAGGTAAACCATAACAACAAACTTCAACTGGATAAGAAGGTAAAAATGATTTTGGCACATACCTGAATCACATTATAAAGGTGTATCTGCGCACTTCCTAACAAGTGAGAATGTTTTCCTGCCTGTTTCAGCAGTTCCAAGGAAATATTATTTCGTTTATCATCTTGACGTCTGGGAATCTTGATGTCAGAGTATATATAAAAAGGAGCATTAAATTTTCAGCTTGACTCTCAGTTCTGAATAAATACAGCCATAAACTACATTGTAGTATATGTATATATAATACATGTGTTTTTAGCCTTATAATTCTTCAATTTCATAGCTATATATAACATCCTAATAACAAAAGTTAAGATAACAAACATCAATTATAGCCTTTCTTGAAATATTCATTACCAACATTCTTTTAAACTTTAGAGAAAAGTCCAGCCTAAACACTGAAATATCATTGTAATCTAATATCTAATATAACAAAAAAACTTGATTAATATCAAAATATCTAACATCCTTTTTAGTTCTTTAAATGTAAACCATTGTCTTAATTTGAAATTATTCCTATCTTGATCTCTATAACACAATTCATTACTTTTTGTGTCCTTTAATATTCAGACACTTTTACTAATTATGAAAAAAAATTCTATGAGTTCCCACTCCTCAATATTTTCTCAATTTTTTGATATACAATTGAAATAAAACATCAATACACCATAATTATTTGATATTTTGTATGTGTTTAAATTATTAGCATTTATTATATGATTACCACAGTAAGTCTAGTTAACATTCATCACCACAGAATTACACTTTTTTCCTTTTTGCGAGAACTTTTAAGACCTATCTTTTTTTGGGGGGGGGGTCACACCTCGCGATGCACTGGGGTTATTCCTGGCTCTGCACCCAGGAGTCACTCCTGGAGGTGTTCAGGGGACCATATGGGATGCTGGAAATTGAACCCGGGTCGGTAAGACCCTTTTATTGAACCTATACTGAACAACTTTCATTAAGTATGGTATTGTTAACTATAAGCACCATCTTGATATGTTAAATTTCTAATACTCAAAAAGTACTTATTCTTAAGTTGAAAATTTGTATCTTTTTGACCATCTTAATCCATTATGCTAACACCCCAAACTCCACCTCTTGTAGCCACCAATCTGTTCTTCAGATTTTTGAGTTAAGATTTTCTTTTTCAGGATTCTGGAACAATGGTGGAAAGAAGATGACACTGGAAATAATATTTGTGTTGGAACATTGTTTGCCTGAAAGTCAATTATGAATAGTTTCATAAATTATGGTGCCTCAATATCCATTTTTAAATTTTTCAGATCCCACATAAGATAAAATATTTGTCTGATTTATTTCACTTGGTATATGCCAAGGTCCATCCACATATGCTTTTCTCATCCTTGCTCTTTTCTGCTCATCTTCCATTTTTCACCTTGTTGAAGCCAGTTGAGTAGGCTGGGGATGGTTGGCTGGGAAATTGGGAACGTTGGTAGAAGGAAGGAAGGGTACACTGGTGGTGGGATTGGTGTTGGAACATTGAATGCCTGAAACAACTGTATCATGAACACCTTGGTAAATCACAGTGTTATCATTTTTAAAAAGGAAAGAAATAAAAGAAAAGAATGTGAGAAAAACTAACATGGGACAAGGGAGATGGCTCACAGTGTTAGAGTGCATGCTTTCCATGCAGGAGGTCCAGCACCACATGGTCCCCAAGCACTGGGAAAATTATTAAGCAAAAATCAATTAACACAAATTTAAGGCTCATTTTAAGATTCTCAGTTATATTCCTTTGATTTTCATGTGTATCTTTGTGCCAGTAATGCTAAGTTTTGATAACTTTAGGTTTAAGTAACTTCTGACATGAGAAAGTACGGCGAGTTCTCTGACTCTGTTTATTTTTTTATTTGGTTCACTCACACCTAATGGTGCTCAGGATTTACTTCTGGCTCAGGGATCACTCCTAGCAGGGCTCTGGGGACTGTATAGCATATCTGGGATCAAATCCAGGTTGGTCACGTGCAAGGTAAGTGCCCTTCCTTCCTGCTGTACTATTGCTCCAGTCTTTGGTATTATAATTTTTTAAAATTGTTTTGTTTTTTCTGGGCCCTTGCATTTCCTTGGAATTTAATGATCAGCTTGTCAATTTCTACCAAAGAAAATATAGCTGACATTTTAAAAAGGACCGCATTTTATCTGAGTGAACTTTGGTGGTATTGATACTGTTATTTGTTTCCATTTGCTTTGTAGTGTTGGTATCTTAAAATATTATTTTTTCCAAAAGTGAAAACAGATTTTACATATACATATGGCTTTTAAAATTACTTTCAACCATGCATTTTATTACCTGTGTGAAAGACAGCTCTGTTAAATCTACCCCTATATTATTCTTTGTGATGTCCCTAAATGAATTGTTTTCTCAATTTTAGATTGTTCATAATTAAGATACGGAAACATAAAAAACGTGACTGTAAAACAGAGTTGTTAATTTTAATGAAAATTGAGATACATGTAAAATTCTAGGAAGTATAACTTCTTAATTAAACAGAAGCAAACTCAGCATACATAACAAGTTCTTGTGTTAGATAAAGTTGAATGAATCAGAGCAGTTCTCTAATAACCTTCCAGTGCTTGTTTTCTTATCTATAAATAAAGATGGTAATAAAACAATATATTGGGAGTATTATACAGATTTAATCCACACAAAAACAACTTGAGTATACATAAAAAGAATGTTTAAGTACAGATAGAAAATGATTTTTAAAAATGGTATGTTATGGGCTTACCAAATTTCTCTAAAATTCTTATGTTGAAGTTTACATCACCAGTATAATGCTATATTTGTAGATGGCATATTTGGGAGGAAATTTGGTCTTGAGCATACAGAACCCTCCAGTGTGATCAGTAATTTTATAAGAAAAAAAAACAGAGAAAGTGGAATCTTTCTCTGATCTCTGCTATGTCAGTTAACGTATAATGAGAAGCCATGGGCAAATCAAGAAGCAGGCCCTCACCTAACACCAGATCTTAAACTTGCCCATTTCCAGAGAAATGAAATGTTTGTTGTTTGATCCACTCAGTCTGTGAGAGTTAATTATAGTAGCCCCAAATGACTTCAACAAGATGCAAAAGGGAAGATAAGCAGAAAAGAGCAAGGATGAGAAAAACACGTTGAGATGAACACTTGGAATTACAGGTAGTAAGATATCAGGAAGATCGCCACAAATATTAAATACTTCAGTGCAAGCTGCTTATTTTAAAAACATCAAATAAAAAAAGCAAATAGTCCAAACAGAATATAATAAAATATCAAACATAAAGGGCATTTTTTCTAAATGACATATATTAGTGTGAAGTATTTCAAACTATAAGGAACATTCTTCTATTGAAAATGAACTTGAACATTACCTGTATGGAAAAGTATTTCAATTCATCAAAATTAATCATAGCATTATATTCATCGGATTGGGGTGGCAAGCCACAAACTTTTGTAGATTTCACAATGTTGTTTACAGAGATGCGAACCATCACACTTTTAAATTGGGACAAACCGACTGAATAAAAAGACATTTATATTTAGGAAGCAAATTTTATTGTAATTAAAAATAATGCATTTTAAAATTAATTTCAATAATTCAGGTCCAATAACAAGAAATCTATCAAAGAATTTAATTGTACAATATAATAACCACTTAAAAAGTCTTTTAAAATTGTATTATCACTCACGCTAACAGATGTATATAAAAAGTTAACTACTTCTCATACTTATATTCTTACATTTCCATAATAATTCCTTTGCACTTTTTAATATATCATTTTAAGAATACAAAATTTTCAGTAAATATAGCTTAAATATTTATAATCATAATTATATTAAAATTTAAATTACTTAAGACTAATTATTTTACATTTTAAGGCAAAAGTTTAAAGTAGTAATTGACCTTGAATTCATCACATATTTTATTTACATTATACTGGTATGTACTATTATCTTTCATAGGCCTCCATGCATTAAAAAACATTTTTATAATTTGATTTATTTTCAAAAAATTTGGTTATAGTGATAGATCTCAGGGATGCATGTGCTCCACAAAAATCTTTTGATATAAAATTCTATTCACTAATTCTCTCTAAAAAAAGATATCAAAACTTCATAATGTATCTCATGGCGATTCAATTAAAAGTTTTTTAAAGAGTTCACAGTAAGACCAATTTGTTATGATAAATTTAATCACATTAATATAAAAATGTATAATTAATATAAATTTATTAATAAGCTATTTAATCACATAAAATAAACTTTGAAAGAAGCACACTTATTACTTAAAATTACTATTGATTTGATCTATGATTAAATACGATGATCATCTAAGAAATTACATGTTTAGTTGGTGATTGAGAGGGTTTATGGATAAAAATCTTTTGTCACTCTCCACGTTAAAAAAAAATCACTTTATTTTGTTTTTAATCTCATCTGACCCTGAGATTTACTCCAACACAATGTTGCTCAACTGGAGATCTTATGACCCCTGATGGGCCCCTTGGATATGCCAAGAAAGCCACAGGTTAAAAAACATCACGTAAATGATAAAAAACATAAAAAAGAATCTTGTAAATTATTCAAGACTAGGGAGCCAACCAGTAGGACAGGGGGCCACAAGAGCAAAGCAAGGTCAGATGGAGCCATAATCGGGAAAAGACTGAGAAACACTCCTCTAAAATATATTGCATATGAACAGGGGAACAGTAAGAGAAGCACTAGCCTAGAGTGTAAATATTAAGGGGCACCAACAACTTCAGTAATTCAAGACAAACAATACTCTAATGTAGTACTTTTTACAGAATCTACCCTAGCTGTGCTCAGCCACTATCAGTGCTACCTGCAGTGGTCCCTGAGGAACCATGCAGTGCCAGAAATCAAAGCCAGAGCTTTGCGCAAGCTAGGTGGGTACTCTACCAATGAAGCTACCTCCCTGCTCCTAATTGAACAGTTTTGAAAAAAAAATCATCAATACAGAAAAAAGGAACAAAACCAAAAGACCCTGGGATACCAGGAAAATAAGAGAAGAAAAAAATAACCATTTTATCCACATTTTATTCCAGTCTTGCAGAAACCCTCACTAAAGTGCCAGACACAACTAAAGAGCTATTTTATATACTTCTACAGCACAATTAGTGCAGGCCCAGTTGTGATAAATTAAAGAACTGGCAGAGATTGATAATATAATTATCTTTTTTAAGCCTATAAAGCAGCAATATATAATTGAAATAATGTTGTGTAATCATAATACTGATCTTAAATCTAAACAAAGGATACTCTCAGGCGAAAAGTCTCCACAAGACTTTACATGAATAGCCAGGCAGCCAACCTATAATAATCACAATAAAAACATAGCAAATGAAATTTTATAAAGCAAACTTTTCTCTTTCTTTGTTTTGTTTTGTTTTGGTCAAACACCCAGGGATGCTCATGGCTTACTACTGGCTTTGAACTCAGGGATCATTCCTGGAGGGCAATCTCAACTCCAGCATCAATTTCTGTCCACTAGATTCCCTCCCACCCACTCTAGCCTTTCTCCTTAAACGCTATATTCCTAAAACTAATTATTGTAGTTTGGGTCACATGCTCCAGTACTGATGCCTGCAAGGTTTAGTTCTTATTGTCAATGTGTCCATAGCTCCAAGGAGAGAGGAGAGGGGAATTAAGAAGAGGCAGAGGCGAGGAGATGCAGCTATTTTTTAAGATTTGGTTTTATAATGATGCAGAAAGAGGTGAGCATTCAGTATTTATTGCAAATAACAAAACAAACACTGTCCTCCCGTTGTTCATCGATTTGCTCGCGCGGGCCCAGTAATGTCTCCATTGTGAGACTTCTTGTTACTGTGTTTGGCATATTAAATACTCTCAGTAGCTTGCCAGGCTCTCCGAGAAGGGCGGAGGAATCGAACCCGGCTCGGCCGGGCTGGCTGTGCGCAAGGCAAACACCCTACCGCTGTGCTATCGCTACGACCATACCACCTTTATTGGAAATAATATTGTAAAAATACTTTTCCCAAAGAAGAAAACTACTACTTAAGGAAACATAAGCATTAAATGTTATATTAAATAAAATGCTTAAGTTTTCAAATTCAAAAAAGAGTGTTTTAAGTTTTCCATTTCAATATATAAATGCATATTATATAACCAAGGTGGGATTTAATTTTTAATTTTTTTTATTTTTGGGGTTCGGTGCCACACCCAGTTGTACTCAGGACTTACTCCTGGTTCTGGCTCAGGGATCACTCATGATGGTACTAGGGGACCATCTGAGGATCTGGAGATTTGAACTTGGGTTGACTGCATACAAGGCAACTAACTGCTTTAAGCCATGTACTATCTCTCTAGTCCTCAGGTGATATTTTAAAGATATAGCCATAAGTGAGTCCATGAATTTTTGTTGATTTTTTTAATGTGTTGTACAGGACTAGGGAATAGAACTGATGCCAGCATATACCCCTTTCCTCAGCATCACCAAGTGTGGTCCTACTGTTTGCCAGTAGTGCAGAACCCAAGTAGCATTATGTCTTTGGGTTTTAACACTGAACCACCAGCTTCACAAAGAGTTGCCCCAGGGTTTTCTGAACATTTTTGGGTGGCCCCTCCTCCAAAAAAAGTATTAAAAATTGGGCTATACTTGAGAAGAGTAGTGGACAACTATAGCTACAATTTCTTATTTTGTAAATCCATATTTTAATTTTCTGTCATTCATCAGTGACTGCCAGTTACATATTTTTACATAAAGCCATGGGCAACTACCTTAACATTATTTAACATTAAATAGCTATTTATTCTTTTGCATCCTTGACCTACATAAAATAGAAAAGTGAATAGCTTCCTAATTACATATAGAAAAAGATTTAACATGCAAAAATAAAATGAAGCTCATTTCTACATTGTAGATTTACAAATGTCACCAAATCTGAGACCCAATTGTTTTCCAAAGCAATAACTAAGCCAGCACCTGTATATTCTAAATGCCCTCTAAGATTAATTTAAAAGAAAGCAACCAGTGGTGGGGACAAGAATGCCGTTGTGACATGAACACACACACACACACACACACACACACACAACACATATAAACTGGGCTGAGCACAGCATCCTATAAAGAGTCTTGCTGAGAAAATTCACTGGAGTAAAAAGCCACCATATCAGGGTGACTCAAGCTCTTCCAAACTCAAAGTGCAGATAAATTCAGAGGTAAGAAATTGGGTGGGCAGGAGTGCCAGAGAGGAGAAACAGAGACTGAAAGAAAAACGCTACCAGATGTAGAATGTCAACGTAGGGCAGGAGGGTGCTGAATGCAAAAGACTTTGAGACCATAAACTTTATAACATCAACTTTATCACTCATTAAGTCAAAAACAGACTTGGGTGTTCATTGTTGGGCCAAACACAGTGGGCTACCACTCTCAGTGCAAGCTAGGAGCCATTCCCAAGATAAGCCATGCTCAATGGGCTTCAGTCTCGGGTTCAACCTACAGAGCCACCACCCGAGCTGATGCTGTTTTGCCCCACCTGATAAGCTTGTAGTGAGGGGCTAGGCACTTCATTTTTCCAAAGAATTCATTTTTGATTTAAATTTGATGACTTACAGATGTTTTGGGATTTGTTAACACACACCCCTGCCCCCACCAAAGGTGCTGCCACATCTGACCAAATGTGCCTGACCAGGCACAGCCAATCACAAGGTGTGCACAGCCCAATAGGGTCACTGCCTCAGATCCACCCAGCAGAGATCAAAGCCTCAGCCTCACCCTTTGGGATATAGCTGCCCTATTATCCCAGGGCATACCAGACAATCTCCTGTCTAAGTAGGAGAACACTGAGCACAAAGATGCCACAGTGATTCAATGCTGTGCCTCTATCTTCTGTGTCAGAAAAGAACTGGAGACTGGCAGTACCTACAACAGACAGAAGTCGTGTTTTACCAATGTCACAGTTGGGAACAGTCCATGGATCAGAGTAGCCATGCCAAACAAGTACTAGATAATGCAAAATTCCCCCAGAGCTACAAAAATAAGTTTAAAGAACAAATTTTATTGGGTACCTATGATCATAATGTCCAACCATTGCCAAAATCAGTTATACTGTGTTGCCACATAACTCCCAACAGCAGCAACATTAAACTCTGGGCCTGAGCCCAGGCTCACTAGACCTTGGGCTTTAAGCAGCTACTAGGCACTAGTGACACAAATCCTGTTATCTCCAGATGCATACAACTTAGAGCTACAAGGCATCAATGGCTGCCAGAACTCAACAGGGTCCTAGACACAGTCTGATAATGAAATTGCAAATACCAAATTGCTACTCATGCCAGCTGGAACTCAGAGTTCCACCTTGAGTTCCCAAAAAAGCATCAAGAATTTAAAAAAAATTGAAAAGAAGGAATTCAGCCAAATCAAAGAAAAGTCCTCAGCTGCATCATAACCTTCTACACTGCCCAAAGAAGACTTCAAAATAACAATTTTCTTGATGTTTCACCAAACAGAAAATTATTGAAATAATAAACTCAAAGAAATATTGATAGAGAAAATTGAACTCAAACATAAATAAAGGAGCTAAAGAATAAAGTAGTAAGACTTGACAGCCAAATAGAAACTGTCAGTCACTGTGACTGTCATCCTGTTGTTCATCGATTTGCTCGAGCGGGCCCAATAACGTCTCCATCGTGAGATTTCTTGTTACTGTGTTTGGCATATCGAATATGTCATGGGTAGCTTGCCAGGCTTTGCCATGTGGGCGAGATACTCTCGGTAGCTTGCCAGGCTCTCTGAGAGGGGCAGAGGAATCGAACTTGGGTCGACTATGTACCCGCTGTGCTACCGATCCAGCCCTAGGAAAAAATGAAGTCATGAAATTTGCTTATAAATGGATGAACATGGAGAGTATCATGCTGAGTAAAATAAGTCAGAAAGAGAAGGGCATACATAGAATGAGTGCACTCATTTGTGGGATATAAATAAAAACATAGCATGAGACTAACACCCAAGGGCTACAACAAATGGTCCATGGTTGGAATCTGCCCCGGGGACTGGAGAGAGGGCACTTGGGATAGAGAAGGGGCCATTATGACAATGATGGTTGGAAGGGATCCCTCTGGATGGGAGATATGTGCTGAAAGTGGGTAAATGACCAAACATGAAGGTTTTTCAGTATCTGTACTGCAAACCATAAAGCCCAAAAGGGAGGGAGGACGGGGGAGAGGGAGACAGGGGGAGAGAGTGAGAGAGAGATAACGAGAGAGAGAGAGAGAGAGAGAGAGAGAGAGAGAGAGAGAGAGAGATAAAAGAGTGCCTGCCTTAGAGGCAGGCTGTGGCAAGAGAGGTGGCAGGAGGGATGTGGGGGACATTGATGGAAAATGTACACTGGTGGAGGGATGGGTGTTAGAACACTGTATGATGAAACCCAATCGCGAACGCTTTGTAACTTTATCTCACAGTGATTCAATTAAAAAGTAAACTAAAAAAATTAGAGACTGGAGAAATAGTATAGAGATCTAGGCACCTATTTTGAATATGGCTGTGGCCCTAACAATGATTTGAATCCTACACTGTGTATGGTCCCCCAAGCACCACGAGGTGTGGCCCCTGAGCAGAGACAGGTGTGGCCCCCAAAGTTTTTAAGTGTTTGATAATAACAAGAGGAATAACCTCCAAATCATAGGAATTCCAGATCTAGAGGAAAGAGAGAAAGGGGGGAAGTGGCTCGTGGGATAAACAGCAACTGAAAAATTTCCCATTCTGAGTAGACTTGTTCCCTGATGCCTAAGGTACAAAGCAAAATAAACTCAAACAAAACAATACCAAGGGTCCAGAGAGATATACACTGAGTAAAGCACTAATCTTGAACACAGCTGAACTGGGTTTAATCCTTGCTATCCTATGTGGTTCCCCAACCTCCACTAGGAGCTATTCCTGAGCACAGAGCCAGGAACAAGCCCTGAGCACCACAAGGTGTGCCACTCCCCACCAAAAGAAAAGAACACTAAGATCTATGTAATGAAAATTTCAAGAAACAGAAAGAGAGAAAGAGAGAGAGAAGTTTTAATGCTGCAAGAGAGAAGCAATGTCTCTACTATTACACTATCCTATTATACAAGGGAAACAACATATAACTCATGCCAGATTTCTCAAATGAATCTGTATAATCAAAAACTGTACAACTGAAACCCAAGCACAAAAATTTGTAAGTCTACAACTGTACATCATGGTGTTTCACTAACAAAAATTTAAAAATAAAATGTAAATGATGGAGAATGGGCACTGGTGGAGGGATGGGTACTGGGTCATTGTATAACTGAAACCCCAGCACAAAAGTTTGTAAGTCTAAAATTGTACCTCACGGTGTTTCACTAATAAAACTCAAAAAAAAAATAAATTGAAACAATATATTCAAAGTACTGGGGGCTGCAGAGATAGGACAGAGGGCATGGCACTTGCCTTGCACGTGGCTGATTTGGTTCAATACATGGCATCCTATACAGTCCCTCTGTCCACCAGGAGTAATGCCTGCATACCGACCCAGAAGTAAGCTCTGAGTACCACTAGCTATGACCTCCAAACCAAAGGCCCAAAATATCATTTTTAAAAGAATTAGGTAATATTTAAGAACATGGATCACAGAAATTATTATATCAACATAACATACCTGGCAGTTTACATACAGCTAAAAATGATCTCAAAGAACTTTTATTTATTTATTTGCTTTTTTGGGTCACACCACACCCGGCCATGCACAGGGGTTACTCTTGGCTCTGCACTCAGGAATTACCCCTGTGGTGCTCAGGGGACCATATGGGATGCTGGGGATCGAACCCAGGTCAGTCACGTGCAAGGCAAGCACCCCACCCACTGTGCTATTACTCCAGCTCCTCAAAAGACTTTTTTTTATAATTTATTATTTATTTATTTATTTGGGTCACACCTGGCGATGCACAGGGGTTACTCTTGGCTCTGCACTCAGGAGTTACTCCTGGCGGTGCTCAAGGGACCATATGGGATGCTGGGAATCAAACCCGGGTTGGCCGCGTGCAAGGCAAATGCCCTACCCACTGTGCTATCTCTCCAGCCCCTCAAAACACTTTTTTTAAGTTTATATGAAACCATAGGTTTATACTACAACACTGATTTTAATATAAACAAGAAAGTGCCATTCATAAAATGAATGCACACCAACTCCATTTTATGAAAGCAAAAATAGTGGGTCCAGAGTGATTGTGGGTAGGGTACTTGTTCTGCATGTGGTCAACCTGGGTTTGATTCCCTGGATCCCATATGATGCCCTGTGCCCCACCAGGTGTGATCTCTGAGCACAAATCCAGGAGTAACACCTAAACACTGCCATATAGCCCCAAAACAAAACAAAAATTACATATTGGGCCAGTGGGATCTAGGGAGATGACCTAGAGGTTTACAGTGAATGCATACATCGTATGTGAGAACCCTGGGTTCAATCCCAGAATTACATAATTCCCCTTGAACACCAATCATGGAGTAGCCCCCAAGCACTGAACAGCTCACAATAACCACTTAAGTATACCTTAGCAAAAATATAAATGTTACATTAATAGGACTGGAGCAGTAGCACAGCGGGTAGGGTGTTTGCCTTGCATGTGGCCAACCCGTGTAACAATTCCCAGCATCCCATATGGTCCCCTGAGCACCGCCAGGGGTAATTCCTGAGTGCAGAGCCAGAAGTAACCCCTGTGAATCCCCACCTCCCACAAAAAAAAGCAAAAAAGGCAAAAGTTACATTAATATAGTCAAACCCAAAATGTGATATTTAATTCATCATATATTATCAGAAATCACATTAGTACATGATAGGATAATATAAAGTATAAACTAGAGAATGTTATAGCACTGTAGCACTGTCCTCCTATTGTTCATCTATTTGCTCAAGCGGATACCAGTAATGTCTCCATTGTGACACTTGTTGTTACTGTTTTTTGGCATATCAAATAGGTCACGGGGAGCTTGCCAGGCTCTGCCATGCGGGCGGGATACTCTTGCTAGCTTGCTGGGCTCTCTGAGAGGGACAGAGGAATCAAACCCGGGTCGGCCATTTGCAAGGCAAACGCCCGCTGTGCTAGAGAATTAATCTAATAGTACTCATAAAATAAAGATAACTATAAAAAATTTGACAGATCAAAGTATACACATACAATGTATTTTCTAGCACCCAAAAGAGAGTAACAGCTTTTGTTGGTTTTCAAAATAGATGTTGATTTGTATGTATATATTCATGAGTGACCTATGTGTTCGATTTGGCTTCTAGGATTTTTTTTTTGGTGGAGGTAGAGGACTACCTTGTTTAGATGATCAGGGGCCACTCCCAGTAACACCCAATGCTGGGTCCCAATGCTGTGGTGCTCAAGGCATCAAGTTGGAATGGTCCAGAGGTGCTCAGGGCCATGTGAGTCACACCTAGCAGTACTTGGGTTTGGGATGGGGGCGTATGGTGCTGGAGTTCGAATCTCAGGCCCTGTATAGTCAAGGCAAGGGCCCTGATGTTCTTTATCCCTGGCCCCTGAATTCAAAATTTTTTGGATGGGGGCAGCAAGGGGCATCAATTTCCAAACTAATTCAAAGCTTCCTAAACCTGGAAATAAATATAATCACTTATTCTCAATCACTTAAAAATAGGGGTTCCTATGGGCCAGTGAGATCATGCAAATGGTAGAGCACATCCCTGGCATGAGTGAAGCCTTAAATTCAATTCCCAAAATTCAATCCATCCTCAGCACAGCTGGGTGTGGTTCTAACAGCCCCTCACTACCATGACTACACTGGGCCTAAGCATTACCAGATCTGACCCCTATAAAAGCACCAATTCCTAGGCTCCAATCTCAGATTCTAAGTTAGCAGATCTTAGGTGGTACCCCCAAGAATTTAAAATTGTGCCAAATGATTCTGATCTGATTAGATTTTGACAATCCCTAGCACAGAAAACAGTTTTCTATCAATAGATATTTCCATGATTTCAGTAAACTTTAGAATACTTATCTGACTCATGAAAATAAAAATTTCATAAATGTTATGAGAGGATAATATCAACATACACACTCTAATTATAAGATATCAAACATTAAATATTCTTCATATGAAATAATGTGTATGGGTTTAGTGAAGATTACTCATACAAACCGCATCTCCAAATGGCACCAAAGCTGGTACTTCAGCTGTGACTCCAGTCTCTGGTCTAAGTTCGGGTTCTTTTTGAGCTTTCTTAAGCATCTATAATGAAAAGAAACTAATTTAAGAATTTAGTGGTAATCTGCAGCTGAGCCATCACAGGTAGGCTCAGACTTCTGGGTTGAGATATCTGTAGCCTTCTCCAAGGGGTAGGTTCAATTCCTACCCTGCCAGAAGACCCAGCGTCCTACCCACATCCAACCTTCTCCAAATTTCACAGCACTTGACAGACCAATAGGAGCACAGCAAATTAGATGGAAAAGTTGTGTTTTTGTTGAGTAAGTTGAATGTGCAAAAACAGTAAAAGGCTCAACTAGCACCTAACAGACCAATAAATCCTCAGACAATGATTTCAATAACTTCACTGTAAGATATATGTTGTAACAAGCAATATAAAGTAAATTATTTTGTGCCTCTTAAGAGGGTAGGCTTGGGGTGGAGTGGGGTGGGGGTTAACTGGGGACATTCGTGGAGGGAAGGTCACACTGGTAGTGGGACTGTGTTAGAACATTAAATATCTGAAACTACTGTATTAAACAACTTTGTAAATCACAGTGTTTAAATAAAGTTTCAAACATTAAAAAAAAGTTTAGGAGATAGGGTCCAGGGATATAAAACAGCAGATAAGGTGCTTATCTCACACAAGACAGACCCAGGCTTGATCCCTGGCACTGATTACTTTCCCCCAAGCTCACCCAGAGTAACTAATTCCTAAGTGCAGAGACAGGAATAAACACTGAGCACTTCTGGGTGTGCCCTCTTCCCCCACAAAAATAGTTTAGAAGGCAAAGATAACTAGATAAAGTACGACTTTAACTCAATAAAATAGTAGCACTGTAGCACTGTCTTAATGTTGTTCATTGATTTGCTTGCTCGAGCAGGCATCAGTAATGTCTCCATTGTGAGACTTGTTGTTACTGTTTTTTTGGCATATTGAATACACCACGGGGAGTTTGCCAGGCTCTGCTGTGCAGGTAGGATACTCTCGCTAGCTTGCCGGCTTCTCTGAGAGGGATGGAGGAATTGAACGCAGGTCGGCCTCATGCAAGGTAAACGCCCTACTTGCTGTGCTATCGCTCTAATCCAATAAATTTGTAAGAACTGGGAATTAGCAATAGGATATTCATATATCCAGAAAACATCTCTACCTCAAAGTTCAACAATATGGGGGGTATGGTGCCGCCAGCAGGTCAATCTGTACCTGTGAGGCGTGTGCATCAGCAGCTTGATGGTGCCTTCAGACTTCTAGATACCCCACAATTGCTGCTGTGCCTTTGGCCTAGACCCCAACAACTTGGGGCAAAGTTTACCAAGAAAGTAAATGGCCAAAAGTTAGGTATGTGGGAGACACAGCCACAAACCACCTCCAGCTTAGCTATATAATTGGAGGCACAGCCTCTCTGGTTCCTGATCAAACTGCTTAACGGCCATGATCCAGGAGACTCAGAAACAAATCTCGGAACCAGTGGCTTTTGACAGAAATGCGTCCGGTACTGCAGCAGATTACTGGTGCTGGGCCGCTCCAGTTGGGAATAGGTTTTGTGCTTTGGCCTGTTCCCCCTGGTAGCTCGGTGGCTGGCATCTTCCAGAGGCCATTGGACAGTCAGGTTTGGACCCGCAGTGATGAGACATGCAGGGCCTCACAGGATGAGGGTGGAGCCAGCCCTTTCCTCCCCACCCCGATGAGACTCCGGGTCTGCCCACGAATGGCATCTCTGGTTCCTGATCAAGCTGCTTAATGACCATGATCCCAGAGACTCAGGAACAAATCTTGGAACCCAGCAGGTTTTAGCAGAAATCCCTCCAGATTTAATTGTTGAAATTTTGGAATTCTATAATTGTGAGGCCTCTACTCCAGCTGCTCAACATCATATGTTATTTATAGTCAGCAATAGCAAACAAATTGTCTATGGTTGCCTTTTTGGCAGATCTGAATGTTGGGGTAAAATCCCAAATAATAATGGTGGGTCTGGTGTCGAAATATTGAATGTAATCAAAGTAGAGAGAAAGTAATGTGGAAATCGTCTACCCCACAGGTATGGGGAGGGTGTAGGATGGGGGGGTATACTGGGGTTTTTGGTGGTGGAAAATGGGCACTGGTGAAGGGATGGGTGTTTCATCATTGTATGACCAAGTCTTAAACCCAAAAGCTTTGTAACTGTTCTCACGATGATTCAATATATAAATCTATAAAAAGGAAAAAAAAAGTTCAACACTATTTTAGCACTGTAGCACTGTCCTCCCAGTTTATCGATTTGCTCAAGCGGGCACCAGTAACGTCTCCATTGTGAGACTTGTTGTTAGTGTTTTTGGCATATCGAAAATGCCACAGGGAGCTTGCCAGGCTTTGTCGTGCGGGCGGGATATTCTCACTAGTTTGCTGGGCTCTCTGAGAGGGACAGAGGAATTGAACCCAAGTCGGCTGTGTGCAAGGCAACCTGCTGTGCTACCAGAGAAACAAAATTTATACACAATTAAATATAAAACAATTTAGGAAATCATGAGACAAGAGTGACAACAATGTGTTTTCTTTGTTAACTGAAAAAAAATCACCATCATTTCCACATTCCAGGATTATAAATGAGAGTAAAGCTGCTTGAGAATTAATTATCAGATTGTGAAGGAATTGGTGGCTTATTCCTTTGGAGTAGTAAGTATATACTGCATACCTAATAGGTATACAATGGAATTTCTTGGGTTAGATGTCACTGAGCAGGAATTATAGGTCAAAGCTGCTGTTCAGCATCATACGAGCATCATGATATTGCATGTTACTTGCTAGGAAAAAATCGAAATTCAAGTTTGTTTTAATAAAAATATATCGCTTTTGTGCCATATTGGAAATTGGAAACATTCTAAGCCATGCCGCCATAAATCAAGGGCCATTTGTATTTACTATGGGTTATCATGTGTTTTCTAAGATTGTGATAAATTTCAATCTATTTTGAATAAGATTTCAATAAAGACAAAAGAGCTGGAAAACCATCTTTTAGAACACTTATGTTCAATTAAGCCATAACAACCTAGTAAAAATATTACCTCTTTACTCACATTTTACTATCTTATTACTTTTCTGTCCTTATCTCAGCAGAGCTTTTTGAAATTGCAGCGATACTGACAAAACAACTAATTGCCAAAATTCCATTAGAACCTTGAACAAAAATTCTAAAACCTAGTCTCATAAACCCTTCTGACTCTATGAGAATTTTACCTGATCCTGCAGAGAAGTTTGATTTCAGTGAATTCTACTATGACTCTTTGTGTTTGTACCTTTGACCCCCATCTTTGAATTTCCTTGTGACTCATTCTGCATTTTTCCCAAGTAATGATTTTAACCTGTTCTCCTTTATTCTACACCCTTCTTTGAAAATCCATTTACCCTTAAACTTACCTTTTCCTAGTATATTCCTGTTTTCTAGCCCTAATGAGAGCTTTAGACTCGTGTGGGCACAACATTTATTAGTGTGATGGAACAACTATATTCCTGTCTGGCATAATGATGATTATAGCTTGAATGCTACTGCCTCAGGAAATGAGTCTGATGTTAAATTCAGATTGGCAAAACAAAAACAATTACAGTATCACTAAACAATAATTGCCTAAGAAAAATTTTGTCTTTACTACTTCCTTGCCCAGCCTAGGTCTTCAGGAAGAAAAAGGTGTTATTTGATTGGTCGGGCCTTCAGTAAAGTAATTCTTTGCTGCAAGTTATAATTACATGGAAATAATAACTAAAAAATATTTCATTCTCACTTTTTGTTGCTCAGGTTCAAGAGGAACGACTCCTTTTCAAATTCCGGTTTTGGGTCCTCATAAAATAAGAATATTCACAGGAGAGCCCAGGAACTATCTCCTAGAACAGTGGAGAAAATATTTAAATTAATCATACTTCTTTAACAGATAAGTAAGCATGCATGGAAAATTATAAGCAGTGGGTAAATATGAAAAAAGTGTAAGTCAGTTCAGAGGCATTCACACTAGAGTACTCATAGTATTATGTCTGCTAGTTCGGCGGATTGCCCAATTACATTACTAAACATAGCAAAAAGTTAAGTCTGCCTTATATGTACACAGGAAATAATCATAAATAATTTCATGGCAGAGTATTAAAAACATTGACAACATTAAGCTACACTTAGGGTTTTAATTGTCTAATTCTGCTAACTTTATATCTTCCAACAAATGGTTCTCAGTGATATGTAAAGTTGTATTTTGGGTGGGGTTGCCTACCAAGCAGTGCTTAGGAAGCCTAGGGGCCCCTGGTGGTAATTCCTCACCAATTTGGCAGGCAATTCAATCAAGGTAAAGTCTAAGGATGCAGTGATGCTTTGGTTTTACGGTACTATGGATTGCCCAGGCTGCACCAGTTATGCTCAGGGGGGCTTCAAGGGCCTAAGTATCCCTCTCTGCAAGAACTTAGACATGTTTGCTTCCCTCCCCCAACTCTATTTTTTTTTAAATAGTATTAGTATTACTGTTTTCTAACTGCCATGCTACTTTACCACCCCTACCATCAGAGTGTCAATATTCCCCCACCAAACTTTTTTTTTTCGCTCATTCAGAATTTTATTTTATTTTTTATTTTTATTAGTGAAACACCATGAGGTACAGTTGTAGACTTACAAATTTTTGTGCTTGGATTTCAATTATACAATGATCAAATACCCATCCCTCCACCAGTGCCCATTTTCCACACCACGGGTCCCAGTATTTCTCCCAACCCCCATCCCCCCCTCTCCCCCCTCCCCCCCCCCACCCTGCCTCTGTGTTCTTTTCTTTTTGTTCTCTCTCTCCTTTTGGTGTTCCCACCAAACTCTTTAAATGTCTTTATTATTCTTTAGGTTTTCATTAAAAAGCTACCTACTAGAGAAGCCTCCTCTTATCTACTATCCAAGATGCTGCCTGCTACTCCACCACAATTATTTTCATTTGTAGATTCTTTGTTTCTTTATAAACCAGCACAATCTGAAACTCTCTAATATTTGAATGCTAGCTAAGGGAAAGTGCTTTCCCTATTTTGTTCACTGTTACATCCCATATCTAACATAAAGCACAAGACATACATCCAAAAATAGGTGGGGTTGGGGAGTAGTGAGATTTTTTAAAGTAATTATCAGATTTCAGAATTTGGGAGGTGAAATATTCTGAGTGAAGACAGAGTCCAAAATGCAGAATTAAAATTACAGTGAGCTGCTGACAAACATTAAGGAGATTTAAACAATTGTCATTAAGGTGCAAAAAAGATTATTTACATTTTTTTTTTACTAAAGTCATAAATTACAATACCTTTTAAACTAAGCAACAGTTTCTTGACTAATTCCTCCAAATTATCTAGGTATGAATGTCTTTAACATATCATCAACTTTTAAGAACCATATTGAGATTGTCCCATTATCAATGCCTATATTTTATTCTCTCACATAAGACAATATTGTAACAATCACCTAACAAGAATATTCCTACGGCCTCCTTTTTAGGCCCAGGAATCCAATTTTTAACAATAACTCCAGAAGTTCTGGATACTGATTATCCAAGGACTAAAATTAGCACTAGTCTGGAGGAAAAGATGTCTTCTTCCTAGATAGAGAGGAAAATTCCTCCTGTACATGTCACAGCCTTTACTTTACCATCCCCTTAGAGAACTAACTTTAGTGTCTTCTCCACTATTTCATTCATCACTAATTAAATTATGATAGTTAAAAAAGAAAAAAGAGAATAAACACTGTTCTTTTTTTTCTAAAAGTAAAGTTTTCTTTTATTTCTGGGGTTTTTGTTCTGCCTTTGGGGTCACCTACAGTGGACCCAGAACTTACTCCTGGTTCTGAGCTCAGGGATCGCTCCTGATGGAGCTCCGAGGACTTTACGGAGGTCTGGGGACTGAATTTGAGAAAGGCAATCACATTACCCGCTGTATTCTCTCCCCAATGCCGAAACACATTTTTTAACAACATACTTCGTTTTTCCCTTCTTTCCCTTCCCCTTCCCTCCCACAAAAGCACTTCTTAGCAGATCATGCTCCTGTTTAAAACCCACAGCTAGATTCTCAACTATGAATATCCTTGAATTCAAACATGTTCCAAATATCATTTGTTAACTACTATATTCCTACACATATTCTGGGAAATATGAAATATATTTGGCAGGTATACTTACTTCCGAGTGTTAAAAATTAAAGCAGTTGGGCCAGGCCTAGGGGGTTGGAATGCATGATTCATGCGCAAGAGCCCTAGGATCCTTCGGCAGAAATAGACAGTCCCCTGAGCACTACCAGGAGCAGCTCCAATTACCAAGCAGGGGGAGCCCCAAAGCACTGCCAAAGCAAAACAAAAATAAATTTAATGGTTCATACAGAAAATTCTAAACATATTGTATAACTTTGTATTATCCTTATTACCCTATAATAATCAATTTGTAAGAAATTATGCACCAAACACACAAAAAAATGGAAAAATAAAACCATGAAATGAAGGATTTATTGCCCAAATACAGAATGCTTCATCAATGTACTGATGCATAAGCAGCATTTATTAATTTGAAGAGTCATCCAGTGTATATAATTAATGACCAATATTATATATCTTATAGTAGTCATTAATAATAATTTTAGTAAGTATATCTTACTGTGATTCAATAAAAATTTTGTTTTAATTTTAATAAGTTGTTAATGTTATTAATTTATTATTTTATTATTAATTTAAATAACTTATTAATTTTCTTAAGCTACCCATGACGTATTCAATATGCCAAACACAGTAACAACAAGTCTCACAATGGAGACATTACTGGGCCCTCTCGAGCAAATCAATGAACAACAGGAAGACAGTACTACAGTGCTATTAATGTTCTCACATATTATATTACTATATAACTCTAAAGTAAATGAGGTATGAAGTATATATTACTCAACAAATCATATTACTCTTTATTACATAACTAAGTCCAAACTTAAGTTTGTTTCCCTGAATCTGTTTCTCTCCAGAAATTCATTTATGAGGTCATTATAACAAGTGCATATTTGGTTTTCTAAGTTACTTTTTGTTGATATGTCACATATTAAACTATTTTTTGAATAAATAATTTGGGAAATTGGACTAGAGAAAGATAAAACAGGGCTTTAGGCACTCGCCTTGCCCGTGGCCAACCCAAGTTTGAATCCATACAACACATATGGTTCCTGAGAATTGCCAGGAGTGATCCCTGAGCACTAAGGAAGAAGATATGAACACTGCTGTGCCCCAAAAACACAAGCAGCGAAAATTTTAATAATACTTTAGGAAATCAAATGGGTAAAGAATGCACTTTGCATATAGGTGCACTGTTTTCAATGTATGTTCATGTTGTTACATCTATAAGAAAATTCCAAACATGGCCAAAATGATAGTTTGGTGTCATTATATATATTTTTTCCAGTCAGTGGATAGTAAAGACACTATATACTATTGGGAGATTTTTTTAAATATGTGTAACTCGTAATATGTGTAACTCATATTTTTTAATATGTGTCCTCATACTTATATTCAAAACTCATGCTAAAAATATTGGAAATCACCACTCTACAGCATAAAGTCCAAATTCCTTAGATATAAGAAATAACAATTTCGCAAGATTTCAAGAACAACTCTCTAAAAAGCCTTTATTTAGTATTCTATAGCTAAAATCTCATATACTTGTGGAATATAAAACATGGGACTAACACCCAAGAACAGTAGAGACAAGAGCCAGGAAGACTGCTCCACCACTGGAAGCCTGTCTCATGAGCTGGGGGAGAAGGTAGCTGGGATAGAGATGGGATCACTTAGTCAATGAAGGTTGGAGAGATCACTTGGGATGGGAGATGTGTGCTGAAAGTAGATAAAGGACGAAACATGATGACCTCTCAGTATCTATATTGCAAACCATAATGCCCCAAAATAGAGAGAGAGTAAGAAGGAAGGTGCTTGCCACAGAGGCAGGGAGTGGGGTGGAGTGGGGGTGGCGGGAGGGATACTGGGAACATTGGTGGTGTAAAGTGCACACTGGTAGAGGGAGATGGGGGTTGATTATTGTAAGGCTGAAACTCAATCACGAAAGCTTTGTAACTGTATCTCATGGTGATTCAAAAAAATACTGTCACAGTGTCCTCCCATTGTTCATCGATTTGCTCAAGTGGGCCCAGTAACAGCTCCATTTTGAGACTTGTTGTTACTGTGTTTGGCATATTGAATACTTCATGGGGAGCTTGCCAGGCTTTGCCGTGAAGGCAAGATACTCTCGGTAGCTTGCTGGGCTCTCCGAGAGGGGTGGAGGAATAGAACCCGGCTCAGCCGGGCTGGCTGCACACAAGGCAAACGCCCTACCGCTGTGCTATCACTCCAGCCCACAAACACAATAATAAAAAATATAAATATAAATAATAAAACCTCTAAATTTATGAGTCAGAAGTATTCTAAATCTGGGCATTAGGTAGTAAATTAGATAACATGGAACACAACTCCTTTAAAAAATTTTACAATAGTTTAGGTAATATATAGGTTATAATAGGATAAAGCTTATAGTATTGCTGTAAATACTCTTATAGCAGTCCACCACCATCAAATTTCCCCAAACCCTCCACTGTCCTTATGTCACCTCTAGTTCCATCTTCACACCACTCTCTTCTCCCTAGTGATGGTTAATAAATTTGGTAATCCAAGGTCAAGGTTTTATCATTTCAACTCTTCAATCTTACAGAGAAGATCATTTTTTAGTGTACCACTTCTTTCCTTTTACTTTATTGACTATTTTAAAAATAAGGAATATAAATGTTTTAACCCACTAGAAACTTTGGAAAGTGGTCTTTGAATCTTACTCCTTGGTAACTGAATGGAAAGTTACACCACTAAATGGTAAACTCGAGTTTCATAAAACTCCCAATGTAAATATGCCTTTCCATTTAAGAACAGAAGGCCTGTAATTCACATAACAAGTAGCTTAGCTTCTACAGGTTCATCTGTAAAAACCTCAGCATTTGGAAGAAAAATGACAACAACAACAACGGGTAGGTAATGATCATTTTTAGTTTAGCCTGAGCCTTGTAGTGGAAATACAGTCACACCGATTGATGACTGGCAGCAGCTGATGGAGAGTATGAGCTCTGTATTGTGCTGAGTGCTTTTCTCTTCTGCTTTAGTTCTGCAGACAATCACAAGAAGCAAAATAGGCAGGAATTACTGTTTCCTCTAACGATGAATAAAATGAGCCTGTGACAAATTAAATAACGGGCCACAGGCCTACATGTAAACTTCCACTTTTAAGTATACCTCGTTCCCACCTGCTTGCTTAATGCTTCCTGGACCCCTAGGCAGAAAGCAGGGTCAGGGTCTGCAGGCAGACCCTCCCCCTATCCAGACAGGGTCCCAACACCCCCCTCACTCCTTATACACACACACACACACACACACACACACACACACACACACACACACACACACTCACGTTCAGTAGCCTCTTCCCAGCTCTTTCTTTGACCTCGACTTTAGGCAGATTCGTGGTGTTGTCAATCCCTTTGGACATTACAGATCACAGAAACCTTCCACACTTTGGCATGCGCTGCTTCTAAGCTGGTTTCAGCATTCCTCTCAAGTATTGGGAGGGGTTCTGGACTGGAAGTGGGAGCGCCAACCTCGGTTATCAGCTGTGCTGGAGAATGACCATTTCTAGAGGCAGGTTTATCCCTACTTGTTCTGCTTCCTTCCACGCCCAACTGCCAAAAAGTTCCAGCGCAGGCGCAGTCTCCGTGCCTTTTTCCCGCGGTTGGTTTTTTTTTTTCCTTTTGCGCATGCTCTAAGCACACGCAACTCCAACCACTCAAACTGGTCCCAGTAGTGCTGGTTTGGAAAGAGTGCGGGCTTAGAGGTGAGGAGGTCAGCTCTGAGCATATATAGGTATCCTTAGAGCGCGGTGGAGGGCCGCAGGGCTCCTGAGCCTGGTGACTGAATGAAAGTCTTCATTTCTGTCTTGTCTGCTCCTTCACCCATCCTAATCCCTCTTCGCCCTGCATCATTTCTTGAGATTTGAATAATATCAACCTTTACTCCTTATACTTTCCCCTGAGCTTTAGATATTACATTTACAGCAGTTTGTTTGGACATTTTTGGCTGTCCATATACTCAAAACACATTAAATATTCATGTTCCCTCCAAACCTCTAGTATGTTTCATAATGTTTAATGAAGCAATCAGTACCATATCCACAGAAGTTTAAAACTGCAAACACACAAAAAACAATTTTTAATTAGAATCTTCAGACATAATTTAAAATATCGCAACACTACTCTTTCTCTTAATAGCACCTACTTACAAGATCTCTCTCCAATACTCCCCGTTTCCATGGCAGGCACTTTTATTCTCTCTCTCCATCTATCTATCTCCTCTCCCTCCCTCCCTCTTTCCCCCTCCTCTTCCTCCTCCTCCTCCTTCTCTTCCTCCTCCTCCTCTTCCTCCTTCTCCCCCATTCCTATAATTACTCATGAGTGTTTAGTTGGTCTTTAGCATCCCCCTTTCTACTGTACCAGAATTAAAAATGTACCTTAAAATTAAAAGCAAACAAAAGAGAAGCACAAGGACTTAATGCAGAGCCTGGCAGCTTGCTGCAGAAAAGTGAATGGACTATGTGTTAATCCACGCCACCATGCCTGCCCAAAGGGGAAAGGGTGTTGTTCCCTTCCACCTTTTTCCCTCTGGAAAGAAAGATGGAAGCCGCTTTGGAGCCTTGTGGAAAGCCAGGTATGAGCTGGTCGTGGTGGGGCAACTGAAACCTCATGGGAAGGGGGCGTTCCCGGCTCATCTTTCCCACCCTACCGAGGTCAGGAGTTGCCACCCACGAGCGGCTCTTCAGCATAGCCATGGCTCTAGAGAACAAAAACCAATCTCATAATTATTTGACTCTCAGCAGAAATACTTCCAGGCTTAATAAGTAAAATACCAGAAATCCAAAATCGTGTGGCTGCCATTGTGGCTGTGTGACATCATTTGATTCTTGTAACCAGCTGTAGAAAACAAATTATTTCACAATGCCTTTTCAGCATGTCTGATTTGGGGGTGTAAACTCTAAATAATAATGGTGCATCTTTTGTCGAAACAATGAATCTAATCAAAGTAGATAGAGTGTTAACTAGAATTCATCTGCCTCAAAGGCATTAGGAGGGTTGGGGGGGGGGTTTATTGGGGTTCTTGGTGGTGAAAAAAAAGTATTGGTGAAGGGAAATGTGTTTGATAAAATTGCATGACCGAGACTTAAACCTGAAAGCTTTGTAACTTTTCCCACAGTGATTCAATAAATAAATTAAAAAATTAAAAAATAAATAAAAGCAAACAAAACCAGACAATTGCAGGGCTCCTTCATGAACCATAAAATTTTAATTCCTTAATATGGAGATCAAGGTCTTCCACAATACAGGTTACCGTGGGATCATTGTTGCTACTCTTTAGAATATTTTTCTTTTATTCCAGAACCAGCTCAGGGATGCAGGAGATGACTCCATGGGCTGGAGCTCTTGCTCTGCCTGTAAGAGACCTGGTTTGATCGCCAACACCACAAACACTGAAGGAGTGCAAAATTTTCATTGTAACTCCAGAGTACACAGCCAGGTACTGTCCCCCCCCACCCCGCCACGCCCCAATGAAAACAAAAGAGAGCAAAGGGGAGGGAAGAAAATGGAATGGGGGAAATGAAGAAGCAGCTCAATGTTATATTTCAATTAAGTTTTATTATGTCTCCCACCACACCACCATCACTTGATCACTTGACATCCTGTTACTCATTGATTTCCTCGAGCAGGCGCCCATAATGTCTCCATTCATCCCTGTCATGTGCTAGTGTAGCCCAGTGGTGTCTGCTCGCACCAGGAACATGAAAAGCCTCAAACCGATCCTTCAGTGTCTTGACGAAGAAGTCTGACCATCTCATAGGTGGGCGGCCACGCGATCTTTTGACGTCCCGTGGAATCCAGTTGGTAATGACTCTAGTCCAGCGGTTGTCTCTAAATCGCAGTATGTGTCCCCCCATCTGATTTTTGACAACTTGGCAAATGAGACAGCGCCCCTGATTCTTGATAGTCGACTGAGATCAGAACTCCAGATTCTTTCTCTCATTTGAGTGAAGCGTGATACTCCAAGCATAACTCTTTCAATTCCTCCTTGGGAGATGTGAATATCGTTCTCATCCTGTTTTCGTAGGGCATGTGTTAATGCAGGAAGAGCAGTGGAATCAAGAGATGTGCCTGGAGCCAGAGGTTCTTTGTCCTCTTAGCTATTTCTTTTGACGCTCTTAAAGGCGTTCCAATCGGGGCTGGAGCAATAGCACAGCGGGTAGGGCGTTTGCCTTGCACGCGGCCAACTCGGGTTCGATTCCCAGCATCCCATATGGTCCCCTGAGCATTGCCAGGGGTAATTCCTGAGTGCAGAGCCAAGAGTAACCCCTGTGCATCGCTGGGTGTGACCCAAAAAGAAAAAAAAAAAAGAAAAAGAAAAGGTGTTCCAAGCCACTCTCTTCCTCCTGCGCAACTCAGGTGCCAGGTCATTTGTCATGCTGACTTCTCGACCTAAGGTACACATAACTGTTGCATTCGGAGATGTTTGTCTGTTGAGAGTGAATGAAATGTCAGGAACGAGACCATTTATCATAAACACAGTCTGTGAGATTCAGCTGTAGTACGACTTTTCCACACTCACGGTCAAAGTCACCACCATCAACAAAGCAAAATTAGCAATGCTATCCAATCTACTTGGCAATATCTATCAGTGGTCTCACATTACTATAATCAGCAATTAATTTCAAAAGACAGAATTCTTTACAGAAAGGAAAAAATCTTACTCTCCCACATGTAAAATGAAATAGGGACAAAAACATTAATTCAAAAAGATAAATTAATTACAACACTCCTATGTTCATTCACAATAGCCAAGATCCAAGATTCGTAATAGCCAATAAGATTCTGGAAATAGCCAGGATCCTAAGAATAGATGAATGAATAAAGAAACTCTATAGACACAATGGATGTAGCACTGTAGCACTGTCTTCCCGTTGTTCATTGATTTGCTCAAGCTGGATCAGTAACATCTCCATCATGAGACTTGTTACTGTGTTTGGCATATTGAATACATCACGGGTAACTTGCCAGGCTTTGCCATGCGGTGAGATACTCTCGGTAGCTTGCCAGGCTCTCCGACAGGGGCGGAGGAATTGAACCTGGCTCAGCCAGGCCAGCTGTGCGCAAGGCAAATACCCTACCGCTGTGCTATCTCTCCAGCCCAATGGATACTGCTCAGAAAAAAAAGAGACCCTCAAACTCGCTGCTACATGGATGGAAGAAACTAGAGGGTATCAGACCTAGTGAAGTGAGAGGGAGAGAAGCAAACACAAAATGATCTTTCTCATGTGTGTACTATAAAGAAACACAATAAGGGATCAAAGCAACAGAAGCCAATGGTAACACATTGAGAATTGGCCTACAGAACTGAGTTTGGGGTAGAAGCAAGGGTGGGAGCCCTAGAGACTGGTGGTATGAAGCTGACATTCTGGTGGTGGGTGTGAACTTTGAGTTGTAATATTGCATGCTTGAAACATTACTATTAACAGTATTGTAGATCGGGGTGCCTATATAAAAATTCAATCAAGTTGAACAAAAAGAAAACAAAAAACGATGATTTGTGACCTGAAAAGTAAAATGATGGAGGAAATGTAGAATGATACAGCCACTCTAGAAAATAGTTTGATAATTTCTGAAAACTCTAAACATGTAAACTAACTACCATCCAACCAGCAATTGCACTCTAGGCATTCACACAAAATAGTATGCACACAAAAATCTGCACACAAATTTTCACAGAAACTTTGTTCAAGAAAGCCCAAAAGTGTAATCAGTTCAGAAGTTCAACAAGTAAATTGTGAAATTAACTGCAATATGTACCACGTATTAAGACTAAGAAACAAAAAAATAAACGACTGATATACATACAGTTTTTATTGATCTTCAGGACATTAGACTGATTCAAAATAAAAATCAATCCCAGGGACAGGAGCAATAGCAGAGCAGTACAGCACTTGCCTCGCCTGTGGTCAACCCAGCTTCAATCCCCAGCATCTGGTATGGTCCCCTAGCCTACCAGGAGTGAACTCTGAATGCAGAGCCAGGAGTGAGCCCTGGGCACAGCCAGGTGTAGCCATAAAATCAAAAGCAAACAAACAAAAAAATAAATCCCAAAAGATTACATTCTGCAAAATTTGATTTAAAACATTTTTAAATTGAAAAAGTTAGAAATGGATAACGGATTAGTAGTTGCCAGAGATAGGCTACAAGGAGATAAGAAGTAGTCATAAAAGGTAACATGAGATTCTTGTGGTTTGGGAAACTCTCCCTATACAACTAATAAAACTGCATGTAACATAATGTTTTCACACACTCAGACACACAAATAAAACTAGGGAATTTGAAAAAGAGCACTGAGTTATATCAATGTCCATGTTTTGGCTGTGATACTATACTCTTTTTAAAAAAAATTTTATTGAATCACTGTGAGATAGTTACAAGCTTTCATGTTTGAGTTACAATCACACAATGATCAAACACCCATCCCTCCACCAGTGCACATTCCCCACCACCAATATCCCTCATTATGCCCCCCTTTTTCCACCCTCCCCCTGCCTCCATGGCAGACATGATTCCCTATAATCTCTCTCTACTTTTGGGCATTATGGTTTGCAATACAGACACTGAGAGGTTATCATGTTTGGTCCTTTATTCACTTTCTGCACACATCTCCCATCCTGACCGATTCCTCCAGTCATCTTTTTCTTAGTGATCCCTTCTCGATTCCAGCTGCCTTCTCCCCTTTGCTCATGAGGCAGGCTTCCAGTTATGGAGCAATCTATCTGTCCCATGGTGTTACTATACTATTAGAAAGTATTATCACTTACAGACACTAGCAAAATGTACAAGGGATCTATGTCATTTAAATATGTTAAGAAAAATGCTATTCAGAGATACTGACAGTGTTCAAAGAACCTGTTATTTCTTAAGTTTGCATGAATCTATATTGCATGAATCTCAGTAAAATCTCAGTTAAAAGCACATAGAGAAAAGCTAAGATTATTTTTAATGAAGAGATACAAAACTACCAAATAAAATGTGTAAATCTTGAGAGATAATTGAGAGAACTTGAAAATGAACTGATTTACTTGTCAATTATTTTAATAATACTGTGTTTGTGTAGATAAAAGTTTGGAGGATTTATGTTTAAACCTTTAGTGAAGTAACATGATGCTAGCCATTTATCTTTGAGAGATTTAGCAAGATAAAAGGTATATTTTAAAAATAAGTCAATAAGAAAACATGAAAAATTGTAATTATTAAACCTATACTGATTGAGCTTATACAGTTGCTACTACTTTTCACTTTTAAGTTTCTGAACAAAGCGCCCTTGAGCTTACTTGGTTTGTGTGAGTCTTTTCTTGCCCCCATCTCCACCAAGTAGAAATCTATTGACCTAATGGCTACACATGTGCAACCTTACTCATACTTTCCCATATTATTTTATTATGGTTTAGGTAATAGTTTTACAATAGTGTTCAAGTATCTAGTACTGATATACAAATTTACTGCATATCACCACCACCAAAGAGCTCCACCTGTCTCTATGTCACTACCAGCCTTACCTTCCTTCCCTCCCATGTATCCCTCCATTGTCAATTGACAGTTATGGTTTTGGTGTATACTGTTACCTTCCTTAGCACCACCTATGTGCTTAAGACCCTCCAAGTATGTTCCCATATTACTTTTAATCAACCTATTGGTCACCCTACCCCTCCCTCCCCCACAGTTAAGCCCCACAAACCTGGCACTCTCATGTCTGTATGCCAGTTTCCAAGGTTTATTGTCACTTTGCTATATTATTCAAACTATGCTTGTCTGGCTTCTGGACAGATTATGAACCTCCAGATGACAGATACCATGTTTTACCCATTTTTTCAGTCATCTTACAAACCTAGCAATAATTTAACCAAGATTAAATAATATATTCTAAACTAATATTCATGTTTAATAGTAAATTATGAATGGTGTGCATAGGTCAGAGGTGTCATATCAGCTATTCTGACTATCACAATCACTAGGGGTATTTTTTGTTTATTGTTTTGGGGCCACACCTGGCTATTTGCAGGCATTCTACCCGTGCTACTGTCGCTCCTGCATACCAGGGGAATTTTTTGTTATATATCTTTCAAAGAAATTTCGCAGACCGATTCTGAATGTTTCAGAATCCTATTCTGAATGTGTTTTGTTCTGCTTGGGGTAGAGGGTAGAGAAAGGTTTATTATGGAATACTGTAATTTTCACCCCCAAAACAACAAAACCTACCCTGGGTATCTTGTCTGTTGACACCTCATAAACTCTAGTATTTCACTTTGCCCACATCTGATGCAGGGAAAAAAAAGCTGAAATGATCACAGAGACAAACATTGGGGAACATCTTCAAATTTCCCAATCATCATGGTCAAAGGGATTTTTGATAGACATCACTTGTGTTACCCTGAAGATATTTCTGTACAGGTCTACCACATGCTGGTGGATTATGTACCTCTTGAGAGATCAAGAGATGTGAACCCTAGGTCATACTTTCAGAACTAAAGAATTCAGAGGAAACTGCCCAAGACAGTGTCAAGATTCTATCCCTTAGACATGTTAGATTTAAGATTCCTTTTTCCTTCGTGTTAGCCAAAGAATGTTTTATGTATTACAGGTAACCTACATATTTTTTGTTGTTCCCCACTCCTTCAAAGCCAGCAATCTTTAGGTATAGTAAAACTAAGCTTAAATGAACATGGCTTACCTGAAGTATTTTGACAGGGAGGATCATAAATTCCTGAATGGAAAGCTTGTCACCAGCAAGAGTTTCATGACTGATCATAGCAAAAGCTATAATTGTCAGGGTGACTTCTGACTTTCCGACAGAGTCACAAGTCTGTGACAGCAGTAGGAATTCCCTTTAGCAAGTCCACACTTTATGTAGATAGCAAGATAGTTTTCCTATGGTACTCATACCAATGCTATTCTCAGTTATCTATCTATAGCATCAATCTATCGATCCTCTTCTAATCCACAATATTTAACTGCTTTCTGATCAAAACAGGGCCAATAACTTTATTGATGTTTGAGAGCCTTTGAGACATTTTCCATAAGAAGGCTTATCATTTTCTTTAGCTCTAGGGTTTCACACCAGTTGACACACCATTAGATAAAAACTGGGAAAAGAGCTTTCCTATAGCAGGATTGACTCTTAAGAATGGGATTTCTTTTGCCAAAGTGGAGTTTTCTTTGCCAAAGAGCTCTCTGATAAAGTAGTTATGGAATGGTGAATCTCTATTCATATTTCTTGATAAGTAAATACAAGGTTCTGAAGCTTTTGGATATTTCAGTATCTTTTTCGCTGTTTATATATGTACATATGTTTATATATTTACATATGTATATATGTGTATGTGTGTATATATATATATATATATATATTTAACTCCCTAAACAATCATGATGTGATGAGATACTGGAACCACCAGTAAAGTTTTTGAAAGGAAAGAAACTCTTATATTCTAAAGCATTTAAAACTTTTTCTTTTAAGGCTAGAAAGATATTGCTTGCTTTGCAAAATCCTCCTCCTCAACTCCATTTTATTAACCACGAAGTAAAGCATCTTTCAAGCTAAATTACATTGTATTATGCTTCTAAACTGATATATAAACACCAAGAAAACTTCAAAACAAACAAATTTAAATTTTCAATTTATTGAGTAAGGGACATAAAAAATAATGGTCTTCCCCCTCCCTTTCCCCCATTCCCTAAATTTATGTTTAAACTAACAAACATTTATAACACTAAAGTTACGGCTTTTCTGTATTAGTGCTCTTTAAGATAGTGATTATAGACGCAACTAATTTGAGAGATCAGAAGACACAAATTTTCATTGCTCATTTCTAGCTCATTTTTATCTCCTAAAGTAAATGAGCTAGAAATGAGGTAATAATGCTATAGAGATTAAAATTTAGGTATAAATTACAAACACAATTTAAATTTTTCCATAATCTTGAGGAAATGTTTAGAGTTCTTGCTGTTGTTGTTTTTTGTTTGGGAGTCACACCTGGTGATGCTTAGGATTTACTTCTGGCTCTGCATTCAGGGATCATTCTGGTGCGGCTCACAAGACCATATCGAGTACCAAGTATCAAAACCAGACTGACTGGGCATGTAAGTGTCCTACCTGCTGTACTATTGTTTCAGACCCCAAACTTTTAGTATTATATAATTTAAAAACCCATTCCCAACATACCTGTCCATATCTTACAAAAATACATTTAAAAACAAAACTGAGAAAAATTCTAAATACTGGGTCACTATTATAGTGAAGTTGAGTTGGTCCTATGAAGAGTCTTTATTCCTTTATCTTTTTTCAGGATATTCTTCCACATCAGAACAGAACATCAGCTCTGGTAGAGAAAAATAAACAGATCAGACTCAAAATGATTTCTCAGGATCTCAAAAAAGAATTTTAGTTATACTCTCCTGAAATACTGACATACTATTGACATAATGGTAATATCTTAAAGTTCAAGACTTCTTGATTAAAAGTTGAACTAGTAACAAATGTACAAGTTCGCATTTTAAGTACTAAGATTTTAATTTACATTATAAATGTCATAAAAGTAGCACTGTCCTTCTGTTGTTCATTGATTTGCTCAACCAGGCCCAGTGATGTCTCCATTCTGAGACTTATTGTTACTGTGTTTGTAATATCGAATACGTCACAGGTAGCTTGCCAGGCTTTGCCGTGTGGACGAGATACTCTCGGTAGTTTGCCGGGCTCTCTGAGAGGGGTGGAGGAACCGAACCCAGCTCAGCCGGTATAATAGAGGCAATATAATAACCTAGTAGGAAATATATGTTGTCCAGAGAATCCAGAATCATTAAATAGCTAAAAGCATCATTCTACAGTAGTCATCTCAGGACCTAAAATGAAGGAGGAAGATATAGGAGGAGGATGTGGTATGTGCCAAAGATCATAAATATGTTACTCCACTTAATAATCCTAAACCCAATAACGAAGATACTATCATCTTCATCTTATACTTACATTTTAAAAAATTCACATGAAAACAAGAGTGCTAGGCTATAAAATCAATACCCAAAAGTCCATGGCTTTCCTATACACAAATAGTGAAAGAGAAGAAAGTGACATGAAGAAAACAATCCCGTTCATAATTGTGCCCCAGAAAATCAAGTACCTGGGAATCAGCTTAACTAAGGAAGTAAAGGACCTGTACAAAAAAAACTACAAAATGCTACTTCAGGAAATAAAAGAGGACACGAGGAAATGGAAAAATACCCCCTGTTCATGGATCGGGAGAATTAGCATAGTCAAAATGGCAATACTTCCCAAAGCACTGTACAAATTCAATGCGATCCCTATTATGGTAAAGGTAAAGGTAAAGGCCCTCCCGTTGTTCGTCGATTTGCTCGGGCGGGCCCAGTAACGTCTCCATTGGAGACTTTGTTGTTACTGTGTTTGGCATATCGAATACGTCATGGGGAGCTTGCCAGGCTCTGCCGTGCGGGCGAGATACTCTCGGTAGCTTGCCGGGCTCTCCGAGAGGGGCGGAGGAATTGAACTCGGGTCGGCCATGTTGGCTGCATGCAAGGCAAACGCCCTACCACTGTGCTATTGCTCCAGCGATACCCATGGTATTCTTCAAAGAAATGGAGCAAACACTCCTGAAATTTATATGGAACAATAAGCCCCCACGAATAGCTAAAGAAATTCTTGGGAAAAAGAAAATGATAGGAATCAACCTCCCTAACTTCAAACTCTACTACAAAGCAGTAATAATTAAAACAGCATGGTACTGGAACAAAGGCAGAGCTGCAGACCAATGGAACAAGGTTGAATATACTGACATCTCCCCCCAAGAATATGATCATGTAATCTTCGATATGGGGGAAAGAAAAGTGAAGTGGAGCAGGGAAAACCTCTTTAACAAATTGTGCTGGCAAAACTGGACGGCTACATGCAAAAAAGTGGGGTCAGATCTCTGCCTAATGCCATGTACAAAAGTAAGATCAAAATGGATTAAAGACCTCAACATCAGACTGGAATCCATAAGGTACACCGAAGACAAAGTTGGCAAAACCCTCCATGATATTGAAGCTAATCGTATCTTCAAAGATGTCACGACACTGGCCAAGCAAGTGAAAACAGAGATAGACAAATGGGACTATCTTAAACTAAGAAGCTTCTGCACCTCCAAAGAAACAGTGACCTAAATACAAAGACAGACTACAGAATGGGAAAGGATATTTGCCGAATACACATCCGACAAGGGGTTAGTATCAAGGATATACAAGGTACTGGTTGAACTCCACAAGAAGAAAACATCCAACCCCATTCAAAAATGGGGCAACGAAATGAACAGAAACTTTCTCAAAGAAGAAATCCGAAAGGCTAATAGGCACATGAGAAAATACTCTACATCATTAATCATCAGGGAGATGCAGATCAAAACAACAATGAGATATCATTTCACACCACATAGACTGGCCAACATCCAAAAGAACAAAGGTAACTGGTGCTGGCGCGGATGTGGCGAGAAAGGGACCCTCCTTCACTGCTGGTGGGAATGCCAACTGGTTCAGCCCATTTGGAAAACAGTATGGATGATTCTCAAAAAATTAGAAATTGAGCTCCCATTTGACCCAGCAATACCACTCCTGGTAAAATATCCCAGAGAGGCAAAAAAGTATAGTCGAAGTGACATCTACACTTGTTTGTTCATTGCAGCACTCTTTACAATAGCCAGAATCTAGAAAAAACCTGAGTGCCCAAGAACAGAGGACTGGTTAAAGAAACTTTGGTACATCTACAATGGAGTACTCTGTAGCTGTTAGAAAAGATGAAGCTATGAAATTTACATACAAGTGGTAATACATGGAAAGTATCATGTTAAGCGAAATGAGTCAGAAAGAGAGGGATGAGACATAGAAAGATTGCATTCATCTGGGGAACATAAAGTAACAAAATAGGAGACTAACACCCAAGAGTGGCTGAGATTAGTACCAGGAGTTTTGCTCCATGGCTTGGAGGCCAGCCACACATGCTGGGGAAAAGGGAGCTCAGATAGAGAAGGGAGCACCAAATAAAGGGTGTTGGGAGGATCCTCCCAGTATGGGAGAAGCATGCTGAAAGTAGTCTATAGACCAAACATGATTGCCACTCAATGCCTCTTTTGCAAACCACAACACCCAAAAGGAGAGAGAGAACAAAAGGGAATGCCCTGCCACAGAGGCAGGGTAGGATGGGAGGTATGGAGGGTGGGAGGGATACTGGGATCCGTGGTGGTGGAAAATGGGCATTGGTGGAGGGATGGGTACTTGATCACCATATAACTGAAACCCAAGCACAAAAATTTGTAAGTCTACATCTGTACCTCATGGTGTTTCACTAATAAAAATTTAAAAAATAAATAAAATAAAAATAAAATAAAATTTTAGTGCTAATAATAAAAAAAAGAAAAAGAAAACATAGTGCTATATGATTCATACTGTCCTAAAGGAAAGCAGCATTCTGGAAACATTTAGCATTCTGGAAATATTTAGTGCTCATATCACTGTATCACTGTCATTCTGTTGTTCGTCAATTTACTAGAGCAGGTGTCTGTAATATCTCTATTTGTCCCAGCCCTGAGATTTTAGCAGCCTCTCCTTACTCTGTTGCCTACTGTCTGAATGCCATCAAACATGGTGAGGTAATTACGGACAATGGGTAGAAAGTGTCCCATGATGTGGGTTCTAAAAGTGGCCTGGAGCATGGCAGGGGTTAGGTATTGGAGGTCAGCTGTTGCGGCTGGGTCCCTTCGGGCGGGGAGGGCTCTTGCCTGCTCCCCTCTGGGGCACCCCGAGTGGAAATAGCCTTGCACTAATATATATATTTTGTGATTTAAACTGAATATTTCTCATGCCAGCAGATGCAGATTCAGCTCCAATCACAGTGTAGAAGGTTGTTAGTTGACAATTCTACATTAAGCCATTACTTAACATAATTAGTCAACATAATAATAGAGAAAAACAACATATTAGGAATATAATTAAAATTAAGACTAAACACACCTTAAAAGGACAAACAGTGGAGGACTGGTCCATGATTAGAAGCTTGCCACAACTTGGGGATGGGAGTACAGTTAGGATAGAGAAGGAACCACTATGACAATGATAATTTAGTTGGAAATAATTATTCTAGACAAGAACTGTGTGCTGAAAGAAGATAAAGTGATATAAACGACAACCTTTCAGTACCTGTATTGCAAACCATAGTGCCCAAAAGGAAAGAAAGAGAAAAGTATCTGCCATAGAGACAGGTTGGGGTGTGGTGGCAGGAGGGAAACCAGGAACAAATGGGAGTGACAAATGTACACTGGTGAAGGATTAGGTGTTGGAACACTGTCCAATCATGAACAACTTTCTAACTGGTTACCTCATGGTGGGTCAATTTAAAAAGGGGTAAGGAGAAAGTGGATTGAAATGATCCACTATTGAACCATATAAGAACAAATGCAGTCTTATTTAGGAAGATATTCCTAAACAATAAATATGGAGTAGAGTTGGTTTTTGTTTTGCTTTTGTTTTTTTCAAAAAAAGGACTAGCATTGTATAACTGAAACCCAAGCACAAAAGTCTGTGAGTCTACAACTTACCCTCATGGTGTTTCACTAATAAAAATTTAAGGGAAAAAAAAAGGACTAGCAGTTTTCTAATTCCCCTTCTTCGGATGTTGCAAAGGGTCTAGAGATTAGTCAATTTCACTTTACACAGAACAAACCAAAGGTAGCATTACTAAACACATCATTAGACAATGAAGGATTAAAAATCTATACCTGCAGAAGAAGTATGAATATATGTTTCTGACAGAGACTACATCTAATGATTAATTTCATGATTAATTTCAAATTAAGAGACTTTGGTTAGAAGACTAAGGAAAGTATTTTATATAACACACTTGAAAGATTCTGAGTGAAGAAATACCTCCGAAATATTCACCAGGGTCATAAGAGGCCCTCCCAGGGTCTGGAAGAACCCAGCTCTCCTAGACCCTCCTCCAGCTTCCCTTCTGTTGTACCACTTTCTCTTCATTCTTGTTGGGTTATTTTGTGTAAATATGCCTTTGTTATTGAAATATAATAAGGTATACCCATGAAAATATACATAATTAATATAAAAGTTTGTTATAGTCTTACAAAATTTTTTAATACCTTCACTAAGATCCATGCTTGGCCTATAGGATAGGAAAAGCCAAGATAATCCAACTAGAAGTGCCACCACCAGATTCACCACAATCCATGGCTGGAGAATTTGTTCTTCAATTCCTGCAGTCCTAAAGTTGCAGAAATACTCATCAGAAATTTCTTAACTTTTGTTCATATAGCCAAATAGTTTATTTTATGAACTTAAAAATAGTACTCCTCATCTAGAGAAGTAACGAGAAAAACATGGCATAAAACTAAGCTGTCTATAAAATACATATACACATGAGAACAAAGATTAAACAGCAGTTGAACTCTGAACATATCTGCTCGTATGCTGATGTAAATTTAATGTTGCCTACTTATTTATACTTTGGGGCACAACCTACGAATACCATGAAGTATTTTTCCCTTCTCTGTTTCTTGGCCCCGCCCTCAAAAAATAAAAGAAAAAGAAAAAAAAAAGACTGCTCTTCTGAGCTCGAGCGGGCCCAGTAACATGCTGAAAAAAACCTCTGCAATCGCAGTCTGAATCTGCAGGCTTCCTCAAGTTTGCTTGCTGATAAGCAGAGGAGCACTCTCCCTAGGCTGCTCTCCTTAGAGCATCACCTGGCTTTCTGACTTGAATCCCCAACTACTTTCTTCCAGTACGCACGGCAAAGCCTGGCAAGCTTACCCGTGATGTATTCCATATGCCAAACACAGTAACAACAAAGTCTCACGATGGAGACGTTACTGGGCCCGCTCAAGAAAACAGATGAACAACGGGAGGACAGTGACAGTGACAGTGACTATTCTGGGGTATTATGCTCCCCAGTTAAGAATTGAGGGTGTGGGACTCTTCCATTGTATCATGCAATGACAGTATAAAGTTATAACATTTAAAACATACTGGCAAAAAAAACCACCTCATTAAACATGCAGATGTTTATAGCCATAGTAATCTCTTAGGCAACAAAATTGGCTCTGTGCTAAAGAATTACTGCTGGCAGGCTTGGGAGACCATATGGGATGGTGGGGACTGAACCCAGGTCAGCTGTGTGCAAGGCAAGCACCCAAACCACTGTACTCTTTCCAGCCCCAGAATAAGTATTTTCAAGCCATAGTTTTAGAGGAAAAAAAGCAGGGAAGGGGGATTATAATATTTAATAACAAAAATAACTTTCAATTCTCTCATTGTTGCAATTATTACCCTCAACAATTGTTCATGCTTTTGAAATTCTTACCAGAGGCTACCATTAACAGAAGAAGGTGTGTAAAGGTGGATTCTGTCACTTGTCATTTGCTGACTCAGAGATAGTGTAAGAGCAGTAAAATACACTGAGAAAAAAAAATAAAATGATTAATAACTATTTTAAACAACCCACTTTATTTTAAATGTATAGATTTAAGTAAAAATAATTTATACTTTGGGGGTAGATATAACACAGTAGGTAGGACATTTGCCTTGCATGTGGCCAACCTGGGTTCAATCCCAGGCAATCTGTATGGTCCTCTGAGCCGGGTCAAGAGTGATCTTTGAACTCAAAGCTGAGTAAGTCCTCAGCACTGCCAGATATGGCTCAAAAACAACAACAAAAGTAACCCATACTTTGCGGAATTATTTAAATATATTTGATCAATTCTAATAGCTGGAGAGATTTAGATTAATTTTAAGAATATAGGTACAAAAAGGGTCTCAAGATACTCACAATGTATTGGAACTAAGACATTAAATGGGATGAGAGAAAATAGTTCAGGGGCATATACTTTGCATGTACCAGGATCCAAGTTTGAATCCTTCTATTTACCCTTGGAGAACCCCAAGCACCACTGGGTATCGTAACAACATTTCTGCATTTCAAGTCCTAGCATTGAACCAAATATCCTGCTTGGTCAAGTACTACCAGAAATAGCTCCAAGTTCCCTGCATGGTGCTTGAGAACCACTCCAATCCCCAGCACTAAATAAATAATATATTTATATATATTTATTAATATATATATTCTCATAACTTAGAAAAAAGATTAATTCCATACTACCAAACAGATATAAAACAGCATTTGTTATCAAAGTGCTATATCAGCTGAATATATATAGTGCCAAGTAGAAAATTAAAAAATATTGAAAGTAGCAAAAAACAAATTAAACTTTTAGATCAAAGTCTACTGGGGGGAAAAAAGCCTATAAAAACTAGCTACTCAGCTTTTTTAGTTTTAGTTGCTATTGTTGCTATTTCTGCTGGGAGGAACACATCCCACTGTGCACAGTCTGTGCTTAGGGGTATGTCCTGGTAGGATTCAGGGGACCTTACAGGGTGTTGGGATCAAACGTGGGTCAGACACGTGCAGGGTAAGCACCCTGTCCACTATACTGTCTCTCAAGTCCTGCTTCTTAACTTATTTAAATTACAAATTCCACTGAACATTTCTAAGAAATGTCTTAAGTAACAAAATTTTATGATTTATGTAATTTAATACAACATATAATTAATAAGTTTTACATAATAGAATTGTGCTTCTGCTAGTTAAAAATAACAGCGTATGTCAAATATCACAGTATCCATTTAAACTACTCACAGAAAGACGCTAAGGCTGTTGGATCCAGTGCAAAAAAATTTCGAATCACTACTGATGTTTTAGCAAAGTTTACCCTAGAAAATACAAAAGCCTCATGTCACAGTACATTTTTTTTTAATTTTATTGAATCACCGTGAGATAGTTACTAGCTTTCATGTTTGGGTTACAATCACACAATGATCAAATATCCATCCCTCCACCAGTGGACATTCCCCACCACCAATATTCCAGGTATACCCCCCTTTCCCACCCTCCCCCTGCCTCCATGGCAGACAATATTCGCCATATTCTCCCTCTACTTTTGGGCATTAAGATTTGCAATACAAATACTGAGAGGTTATCATGTTTGGTCCATTATCTACTTTCAGCACACATCTCCCATCCTGACCGATTCCTCCAGCCATCGTTTTCTTAGTGATCCCTTCTCTACTCCAGTTGCCTTCTCGCCTCTGCTCAGGAGGTAGGCTTCCAGCTATGAAGAAATCTTCCTCGCCTGTGTACATACTGTCCTTGGAGTCAGCCTCATGTTATGTTATTTTATACTCCACAAATGAGTGCAGTCCTTATATGTCTGTCCCTCTCTTCCTGACTCATTTCACTTAGCATGATACTCTCCATGTCTATCCATTTATAAGCAAAGTTCATGACTTCATTTTTCCTAACAGCTGCATAGTATAGATGTACCAAAGATTCTTTAATCGGTCATCTGTTCTAGGGCACTTGGGTTGTTTCCAGATTTTGACTATTGTGAACAGTGCTGCAATGAACAGATGTTACTTCTACTGTGCTTTTTTTGGCATCCTCAGGATATATTCCCAGAAGTGGTATTGCAGGGTCATATGGAAGCAATTTCTAGTTTTTGAAGGACTGTCTATATTGTTTTCCAGAAAGGCTGGACTAGTGGCCATTCCCACCAACAGTGAAAGAATGTCCCTTTTTCCCCACATCCACGCCAGCACTGGTTGCTGTTGTTCTTTTGAATGTGTCACAGTACATTTGTAAATTTCTTGCAACACTGTCATCTTGACTACTAGCTCTTCTTTGCTTATTTTTTCAAATGCTACCAAATTTCTTATCCATTACTATACTTTAAACAGCTACAGTTTATAATTAACACATATTAAATAATTTACTTATAAAGTCTATATAACATTTTGCTAAAATATATTTTATTTTTCTTATTTTATTTTTCTCTATCATGGGTAAGCAACACTATAGAAGTTGAGGGTATAAATTAACACCCTTACATGTTTACAAATTAACACCTTACAATCCACACTCACTAAAGTTTCAGTGCTATCCCACACTCACTAAAGTTTCAGTGCTATCCCACTACAAAAAGGCTCTGTCTATTCACTATCTGTCTCATGTTTCCCTGTAGTAAACACCATAGTTCTCACCAAGTCTTAGAGTAAGTTTTATTTTCACCAGTTCATAAGTTTTAGGTATTTACATTCCACATATGATTCAAAATATCAGTAATTGTAAAGGGCTATTCTGTCAACAAGTCTTTAGAGTTGAAGCATTTGAAGAAACATTCAATGTGCAAACTTTTTATTAGATTCTACCCCTTTATTTTAGCATACAGTTAAACAAAAAGTTCTTTCTTTTTTTAAAAAAATTTTACTTTGCATTGTGACTTAGGTTTATCCCTTATGTTTTAGGGATATAATGCATTAAACCTGCCCCAAAAGTGCCATAAAAGTTGTTTTAAGGGTTGGATTATGCTTTTCAAAAGATACACTGCTCTCTGAACCCTAGTACCTGTGAATGTGACCTTATTTGGCAATAGGGTCTTTGGGGAAGAATCAAAATAAGAACAACAGAATAGACACTAATCCAATATGAATTATGTCCTTCATCGAGACATAAGGAGACGGCAATGAGACAACAAAGATATAAGTTAGAGCAATGAGTGATGTGTCTACAAATCAAGAAACACCAAGGATTGCCAGCAGCCCCTGGAAGCCACGTGAGCTATATAACTCTTCCTCAGCATCTTCAAAACACTCAGCCTCACAGTTGCCTGGACTTCAGGCTTCTAAATATCTAATACTGGAGAGTAAACATGTCTGTTATTTCAAGCCACACAGTTATTAAAGATGTCCTAGGAAGCTAATATACCCAAAGTCTCATCTATACCTGATTCATATGATCTGAAGATAATATTTGGCACTTCAATGATTGGACAAAATACTAGACTTGGAATTGATACTGGAACTTTGGAGGAATTTTTGGTTCACAGTAGTGCAATTCTCCTCACAAAAAAAAAAATAGAAAGAAGCCACCTTTTTCAAAATCCAAAAATATTATTACGAAGCCTTTCCTTAGCCATGGTTTTACTTTCTATGGTTTCAGTAATCCATAGTTCATATTTTTGACCATTTAAAAATAATACACATAGTAAGATATTTTGACAGATTATATTTATAAAACTTTTTTGAATCTATTATATCTTTATTATAAGTTGTTTAGCACTTATTTTTACCTATTTTATAAATTAAACTTCATCATAAATATATATGTACTTTATAGGGAAAAACATAGTATGCATAGAGTTTCTGTTATTCTGTTATACTTAGAAATATACTCTCTGCTATTTCAGACATCCATTGGGGACCTTAGAATATATACCCCATAGATGAGAGAGGTGAATATCTATTTCTATTTCTAATCTAAAATAGTTTCTATTTCTAATCTAAAATAGTTTCTAATCTATTTCTATTTCTATTTCTATTTCTATTTCTAAAATAGTTTCTATTTCTAATCTAAAATAGTTTCCAAAATAGAATATCTAATTCTATTTTGGAAACTGTCGAAGTTAGTGACATATTTTACTCACTATTTTCTCCTGAATAAAAGTTAGAGACATCTGCAGTCAGAATAATCTTACCTGTCAAAAGCTGAAATTGTACTTAGAGCCAAAAGCAAGTACAGAAGACTCTGGAATGGATATGCTAAAGTCTTGTATTGTTCCAGAAGATTTGAAAAGTTAGAAAGCTGATTTCCTGCTAGAACATATATCACAATAATATTCCAAACAGCACAGCCAGCCAAGAAGCCATGAGAAAAGAGACCAATCATCCTGTATGGGAAAGGGTTTAATTATTACACAAGAAGTACTAATGTACTAAGTGAAAATATTGTTTAAATCTCTTCACATATAAGAATAAAATTTAACATTTCACACAAAGTGAAAATAAGCTTTTTCTTTTCATTACACTGACAGGAAGATCATGTAACTCTAACTGGACATCTAAAATATATACCTACCTACCATTTTAGAGCATCGATTTTGTTAACAGTATTGAACAAATGACACTTTTTCAAAAACTATAGAACACTTGTTTTAAGCCCAACAAAAGCACCACCTGAAAGCCCGGTGCACGGACAGGGCGACATCTCTTGTGGTCCAGGAAGGCTTCATATCCATTGACACGTCTAGATTTTCTGTGGTTTTTATCAACTCGGAACGGTCAGCAGCCTGGAATCGCCCTAATTAAAAAAAAAATGACACAACTAACTTACAATGACCAAGAGAGAACTTAGTCTGTTTAATTACTCCACATTTTAAAACCCTCAGGTTGAGATTGAATTTCTCCTATTTTTCATCTAAAAGTTCTGAGTCAGACCTATTTCAGTAGGCTCCTTTTTTTTCTTCTGTTTGTGTACTATTTAGAATTTTTTTATTTTTAATTTTCATAAAGTTGTTCACATTAATTGATTACATTCAATATATCAACATCAATCCCACCACCATTATACCTTCCCACCACCATTACACCTTCCCTCAACCATTATTTTGAATTTTCCCACCACTGTTCAAGCCTGCCTGCCACAAGCAGGTTCTAGATAATTTATTTTCTATTGCTTATTATGAATATCGTGGGAGGTCACGCAGCCACAGAAGTAGCTGCACACTCCTGGAATTCTAAATATGTAAACGATTAGGGTCCAAAGACATCTCTATAGGGAGATTATCCATTTTGAGATTCATTTGTGAGTCTCTGGATTAAGACAGGTAAAAGTCCTTAAATATGGCCTGGAGGCAGTTCGTGGGCATGACAGCCAGTACCCCAAAGAGGCGGAGAGACAGAAGGGATGAACCATCTCTGCCGCGATGAGGCCTGGTGTCTTCAGAAGTAGGCTCCTTTCCTCTGGTTTAAATATGGTATCTTTTACTATCTTCAAGATATCTTTTCTATCTTCAAGAAAAATAAACAGACACTTCTCAGAAGAACAACAAACAAATGGCCATTAGGCATATGAAAAAAATGTTTATTGTCACTTCATTTCATTTCATTTCATCATCCTGTTATTCGTCGATTGCCTCGAGCAGGCCCCAGTAACGTCTCTTTCATCCTAACCCTGAGATTATATTCAAGGCTCTTTAGGAGAATGAGACCCATCATTGTTATTGGTATTTGGCATATTTGGTACACCACGGGGAGTTTGCCAGACTCTGCCCTGTGGGCAGGCTACATTCGATAGCCTGCAAGTTTGTCCAAAGTAGGAATGAGATGATAAGATGTCATAAAAGATGTCCTGATAAGATGTCGGTTCTGGGAGCTGGATTTTATAGTCTCTGAGTCTTGGCCGTTGATGGGATTACACGGCGCCAGGGGGCCAGGTGGTGGGTGTGACCCCCGCCTACTGGAATTTGGAGGATCTGGGTGGAGGATGCTCGACTCCAATCCGAGTAGGCTGGGAGATCTCGGCCCCGGAACCCGCGTGGATTTGTCCCTCTGCCAGTACCTTCAGGTGTGCGGAGAGTGGTCTCAGCATGGTGGTGGCTGGTCCTGGAGGTCTTTGGCTGCCGGAGCCTGGTCGGGGCGGGGAGGAAAGCTCAACCCGCTCCCCTCCTGTCACTTATTATCAGGCAAAACTCAAATGAAGATGACAGTGAGTTATCACATCCTATCAGTGAGAATGGCTCATATAAGACAATATGATAAGATTGCTTTGTTTATATTCCACTTATGAATGAGATCATATGGTATTTGTTTTCCTCCTTTAAAGGTTTTTCACTTGATATGATTCCTTCCAGATTCACCTATATTGCATGATTCTATGCGGACGATGATCACTACTTGTGGGATCATTTCCAAAAATAATTTTTTTTTCATACAGCTGAGTAGTATTCCATTTTGTAACTACATTCCTTTGTCTTTCACCACTTATCTGTTGTTGAGTATTTGAGTGATGCTCATACCTTTGCTATACTGAATAAGGCTACAATGTATATATATGTGTATATGTCTTTTTGAATTAGTGTTTTTGTGTTCTTTGGTTAGATACCAAGGAGTGGAATTGCTGGATCATATGGTTTTAGTTTTGTTTTAAATATTTTAAGAAAACTATGTACTGCTTTCCATAAAGACTGAACCAATTTGCATTTGTACCAACACTGGATGACGGTTCTTCAGGACTAATCTTTGTTTCAGATAAGGTCTGTAGGAAGCATTTTCACTGCATATCCATGTGAGTAGTATATGGTCCTTATATTGCTATCATAGGTTTCCTTAAACATTGCTTATGCATGCTATACAATATCAGATTTCCAAAAGAAGATATACCTGTACTGTTGTATTTCTTATACAATAGAGTAATAACTTCTTATATTTTTGTCTCACTAGTAAATTAATTTTTTTAGTACCAAGAACTTCATCAAACCTAGAATCCATCCATGCAAGATAAGTGCTCTGCCATAAAGCTACATTCCCAATTACTGAATTTATAACAGTATCTGCTCCAAAAACATTACTACAAAGAATAGAAAACTGATAAGAACAACAAAAGATACAAATAAACAAAGTATAAATAAAGATATGGGTAATGTTGGGAGAGATTTTTTAATTACCAGTAATTCCATAGCCCAGAAAAAAACAGTATGAATAATTTGACATGTTTCCTTCTAGTCTTATGTCTTACACATTTTTCTATAGTTGATATCAAATTACATGCATGTGTAATGAGTTTTCATTAAAAACTTTCCATAAAATAAAACAATTCTTCCTAAATACTATTTTAATGGTGCAAAACAGTAAATAGCATGGATAAACCATAACTGACAGAAACGTTCTCCTCCAGTCTAACATTTGTTTCTAGTGTTTTGTTCTTATGAATGATAGTAATAATTAACTTTGTGTATTAATTTTTTAATCCAGGGTTCTGCTTATTTACTTCATTTAGATTTACAAAAGTGTAATTCCTAAGTCAAAGAATACTCTTATATAATTCTTGAAGAGCTCAAATTCCAAAATAAAGAAGCACTTACGGCTTTTTTCCACAAACACTTTGTCTACAGGTTGGCTAATTCCAATAGGTGCAGTGAACACAGACTGTTGCTCTGGATTACTTTGCCCATCAGTAATAATGTCTTCATCTTCTACTCCTAGCTCATTGGCATATTGCAGTTCTGCTGGCCGTGTTTTCCTGTAAATAGAGAAAATACATGAAAAATAAATACTGAATTTTTATAGACCATTTGAGAGGTAACTAAAAGTATAATGAAGACTGAACTGAGTCAAGAAATTTAGTTTTCATACAAGTGGATCTGTTATTAGTAGCTATGTAAATAGAAAATTACCTATATTTCTGTAAATTTCAGTTTTCTCATCTGGAAAATGAAGCAACTAAACTATATTTGTAAGATCAAAACTGTAGAATTCTCTCTCTGAATATATATTGATCATCATTTGTAGGGTCATTTCCAAATATAAACAATAATGGTATATAACTTGCAGTATATTCTTTTATATTATGTAGTATAATCTAATGTTCTTTGTTTTAACCTGACATGTGACAGATTAGAGATATTTGAATTTATGTCTGGTGAAATAATCAAACTCTGAATTTTGTTAATATGAGAAAATATATCACAATATCCTATCTGATTCATACTACCTTTTAAATTTTAATTATAGTCTTATGCTTATTACAGAGAAGTAAAATTTTAAAAAAATATTTTTTTTAGTAAAGCCAGTATTTTAATTTTCTTCTTTTTTTCTCTTCCAAGACTTATTTGTGAGTCTCTGGATCATGGCTGGTTAATGAGCTTATTTGGCACCAGAGGCAGTTTGTAGGCACGACTGCCAGGCTCCCAGAAGAACAGGGAGATGGGGGAAGGTCACCCAACCCCAACTCTGGAGAGCCTGGAGATTTCAGTCACAAAACCCACATACCTGAGTTTTTAAACAGATTCATTCATGGATGAGGCTCATCGTGAGCCTGTGGAGATCAGTGTGAGCATGGCTACAATTGGGTAGTTTTTGGCTGTCGGAGTTCTGGCTGAGCAGGTGGTGGGCCCACCCATCCCTCTCCGGGTGCCCTGATGAGACTCAGCCTAGCACAGGGTCTGGAGGCATCTCTCAATATTTTAATTTTCTCAGTTGTTTATTATCTTCAAATTTATCATTAGATTGCCTTAACTGATAATTGTATAATACTTTTTATTATAGAGATACAAGATCACAAGTAACTACTAAGTGTTCATGAGAAGCACTATTCAGGAGCTCCAAATTGAACATCAGTGAATCCCTGTAGAATATGAGACTATACAACAACTTACTTTGTCTTTCTTCTAGGTTTCTGAACGACTGTCTCCTCAGCTGGAGAGGGGGGCTCCACCTCAATACCATTTTCATTTTGTAATGGAGATGGACTAGAGGTCTTCTTCTGGGTTAAGGAAGTCTCAGATTCTAAAAACAAATTTTAGATTCCATTTTCAACTTACTGTAAATACAGAAAGACAAACAATGAACATTATTTATTTTAAAATAATTTTAATTGGATTAAGTATTTTTCTGCAGGGGGAGGGGACCCACACTTGGCAGTTCTCAGAGTACCACATGGGGTACAGAGGATTGAACCCAGGTATGCCACATGCCCTACCAGCTGTACTACTAACACTCCAGCCCCAGAATTGAGTTAAATATTTTGTTACCATTTTATATGGTTTTGTGTTTATGTAACAAAATTTAAAAGTAACATATTACATTTCTAACTCTACAGAATAAATTCTGAAACAGTGATGCCAAACAGAAGGGGGTGGGGGAGTGAAAATTAAGCAATCCAAACACCAGAATGTATTGGAGATCATCCAAGATTATTTCTAGGTTTAGTGATTTGCTCTAAGGGTTCACAGCACTCAGAAGTTATTACACTGACAGTTATGGTGTATTATAGTAAACGGCTATAAAATCAGCAAAAGAAAAGCTCATGTGGCAAAATTTCACAAGAAAAAAAGTATCGGCTTACAGGAGTCACAGAATGCTCAATTCTTCAGCAACAAGTTAACAGTACATGTGACATCATCTCTACCAGGTAAACTCAGAGATACAGCATCCCAGGATTTTAATGAGGGCTGATCACATAGGCATCACCTACCTGGTATATGCCAAAACTCCTGATCCCTCCCCGCCTCCAAAAAAAAGCAGTTTTGCAGCATAAATCATGTAAATAACATTGTGTGCACAGAGTTCCAGCAGCATAGAAAACTATTTACCCGTCAAGTTCCCAGATACCAGTCAAGAGCCATCTAGCCTTTCCAAGGGCAGCAGTTTGTGGTTTGTCTACTACCATTACTCTTACTCTTTTCTGCATATAGCATATTAAGCTTAAGCAAGTCAACAGTCTTCTAATCTTCTAGCTATTCCTCCTTTTAGGAATTTAACACAACATATTTTTTGAATAGGAATCTTTGACAAACTATTTGTGTTTTTAAGTCAACTCATTAGTAATGGTTTACAACCTACTATTTTACTTTAACAATCCAGTTACTGGCTGCCCGATTTATATAAAACGGATCCAACATTGTTTACATAGCAAATATCACATCATAGCTAGTTATTATAAATTTCTATCCTTACAAATAATGTTATAATCTACATCCTTTACTATAACTATCGGGGTTGCTTCTATTACTAGTCATTTGAATACACCATATCAATTTACATTCCTATCAAATTACAAATGAACAATTTCTCAAAAAATAATTTTACAACCTATACTTTCTTCTTGATAATTTTTTAAGTGTCAATGAATGTTGGCTATTGCTTCACTATAGTACTAATATGGAATCTATCCTTTCCCCTAAGAAGATATTCTATTAGTGAAGAAAATGATAACATATTTTCAAACACAGCCTGAAAACCACAACTGTTATAACAACCTAGCCTTGGTTTCTTATACCGAAAGATAGCTTGGTCTTCTTTGATCTTCTCTGAACAGAAGCTTCTGGATGCTCTATGGTTTCTTTAGTTGGTGGTTCACTGCCCTCAGATGGCTTACCAACAGCAGTCTGAACAAGACCTTCCAACGAAGTGTTGCCTACAGAAAAACAGTGGGGGGAAGATGGGGTAACTTGAAAAGAGATCACCAAGTCTTAGAGAGTCACAAAGAGGAACCAAGTGACAAACCCCCCTAATCTTACAGAATTGATTGTGCCCAAGTCTTAATTTCCTTAATCCTCGCTTTACCTCTGGGCTTTAGGTGGAGAAAATAAGTAAATGAAGGATTACAACTGAGGAAGAAAAATACTGGGGGTGGTGAAAGAAAGAACAGATAAAGAAGGTCCAAGAGGATAAACTGATTCAAAATTTTCAGAAAGGTAAAAACAGCAGAAACTGTCACCATATAGAATCTCTCCATTGTCTTAGACCTTAAGAATAGTCTGTCTTAGTCTACAGAATGGGAAAGGATATTCACCGAATACACATCTGACAAGGGGTTGATATCCAGGATATACAAAATACTGGTTAAACTCCACAAGAAGAAAACATCCAACCCCATCCAAAAATGGGGCAATGAAATGAACAGAAACTTTCTCAAAGAAGAAATCCGAATGGCAAAAAAGCACATGAGAAAATGCTCTACATCATTAATCATCAGGGAGATGCAGATCAAAACCACAATGAGATACCATCTCACACCTCAGAGACTGGCCCACATTCAAAAGAACAAAAGCAACCGATGCTGGCGTGGATGTGGCGAGAAAGGGACACTCCTTCACTGTTGGTGGGAATGTCCACTGGTTCAGCCCTTCTGGAAAACAGTATGGACGATTCTCAAAAAATTAGAAATTGAGCTCCCATTTGACCCAGCAATACCACTCCTGGGAATATATCCCAGAGAGGCAAAAATGTATAGTCGAAGTGACATCTGCACTTGTTTGTTCATTGCAGCACTCTTTACAATAGCCAGAAACTGGAAGAAACCTGAATGCCCAAGAACAGATGACTGGTTAAAGAAACTTTGGTACATCTACACAATGGAGTACTATGTAGCTCTTAGAAAAGATGAAGTCATGAAATTTACATACAAGTGGTACAATATGGAAAGTATCATGCTAAGCGAAATGAGTCAGAAAGAGAGGGATAGACATAGAAAGATTGCATTCATCTGGGGGATATAAAGTAACAAAGTATGAGATTAATACCCAAGAATAGCTGAGATCAGCACCAGGAGGATTACTCCATAACTTAGAGGCCAGCCGGGTATCCTAGAGGAAAGGGCTGTTCAGATAGAGAAGGGAGCACCAAATAAAGGATGTTTGGAGGATCCTCCCAGGAGGGGAGATGCATGTCGAAAGTAGACTATGGACTGAACATGTTTGCCACTCAATGCCTCTTTTGCAGACCACAACACCCAAAAGGAGAGAGAGAACACAGGGGATTGCCCTGCCACAGAGACAGGGGGGATGGGGGGATGGGGGTGGGAGGGATATTATCCATGGTGGTGGAAAATGGGCACTGGTGGAGGGATGGGTATCTGATCATTGTATAATTGAAACCAAAGCACAAAATATTGTAAATCTACAACTTTAAAAAAATAAAATAAAATAAGGGGAAAAAAAAAAAGAATAGTCTGTCTTTATATAACTGTATCCTCCATTAATAAATGGTTACATGATAAAGTAATGGATATAGTAATTAATGGACAATTTATAAAACTCTTCACTTAAGTAATTTATTTCAGTCTCTCAATCTTCAAACAGATTTGATATATCTGGTTGATTTATATTTCAACTGACAATTCCTTTATCTACTTCACAAAAGAAATACAAATAAGGCCAGAGATTATAGTATATGGGATAAGGTAATTGCTTTGCATGCAGACAACTGTGCTTTGATCCCCACATATAGTCCCCAAAAAAACTACCAGGAGTGATCCATGAGCCCAGAGCCAGGAGTAAGCCCTGAGAATCTGACCATGTGGTACTGGGGATAAAACCCAGGGCTCCTGCGTACAAAACATGAGGCTTAGCCCTTCAGCCATATCCCTGTTTCCCTAAAAAAATTTTAAACATAAAAAGAAATATTTACTTTAAAGCACTTCTATTTATAACAGTTTTTTGAGAAATAAAATATATTAAATTCTGAAAATACACTACTTTTCTTACTGGAAACAAATACATATAATCTAATTTAAAAATTTTCCTTCTCTACTTATGAACACCTGCCAATAACACAGAAAGAAGACAATAATTATGAAAGTAGACTTTCTCTTTTATAAAAACAAAAATTAGATGAATATATTCATGGTGTTTCACTAATAAAAATTAAATTAAAAAATTATATGAATATAAATATATTAAGAACATCTAGACTTTAATTATTAACATTTAACAATTTTAATAAAATCTAGCAAAATAGCTCCTATTTGTTAACAGCACCATGTTTCTTTTTCTCCTTCTCTCTGTCACTCTGTCTTGTCTCTGCCTCTCTCTTTCTCTCTCCATACACACATACACACACACACCACCACCACCACCACCACCACCAAAAAAAATGGAAGTTCTGATAATGCAGCTAGACCTGCCTAAAACTGTATCTCTGCTCTATAATGAGCATGTTCTTAGTCTGGAATTTTACTTTATTTTACTTTATCTTAGTGCTAGTAATCAAATCTAGTTCTTATGCATTTGCTTTGCTTATCCACATCTCTGGACCCTAGGCTGACATTTCAGTATCTTTATAAATCTAAGTCTCTGTGATTCTTATTTCTTTTCATTTTGTATATCTTTCACTAAATGCACTTTCATATTCATTTCTTCCCTTTGCCTCATACACCATCTCTTCCTACGTTTTTGTTTTTTTAACAATGGTAAGCCAGTATAAATTTCTGGCTAGTTGTAAGGTACAAGCCATAAGCTTTCAGAAGTCTATCCAGGGGGCATAGAGATGACTCACTGGTCAGAGCACATACTTAACATGCAGCAGGTGCTTCGGGTTCAATCCCAAAGATGTTGTCTAGCAGCGTGAACAGAACTTACTAGAATGGAAGACAGAGAGAAGTACAGAGCAATTTGGAGGTCAACCTGATAACTTAGGGAAGAAGAAATTAACTAAAATGACTATAGTTGTGACCGTGAAAATGAACAGATAAGTGTTGGTGCCCAACCATATCATGAAGATGAGTCATTGGATGCTGCTCTGCAAGCAGGAAGCAGGACCTGGACCCCACATTGACCTAGTTGGGTGAGCCTAAGTTTGAAAATTTGATTGATATGGAAAAGGCAAAACTGACCTTCTGTGGCCAGCAAAATCCTGCAGCACAAAGGAGCAGCTTCCCCTTCTCACATATCTCAGGCCTAACTAGTCTTTGGATGTAAACATTCTATCCCATTTATCACAGACCTTAGGTGTGAGGAGGTCAAGAGCTATGTTTCTGTTTATGTAAAAAACTATGTTTCCACTTATGTAAATGATTATGTTTCCGTTTTATAACTGTTTGTGTTTCTGTTTCAGTTAACTGACTATGTTAATTTACATATTCTTCCCACATGGCTGAATTTCATTGGACGTGATAATAAGCCAGCAAATAAAAGGAGGCTGAAAAGATTGCTCCTGGTCACAAAACCTGAGTGCGTCTGTGATCCTCTGTGAATCATTAATTTCTTTCTTGTGCCTATCTCAGCGCCTCAGACTGCCTAATCGAACGTTTGAATAACATCTGGTGCCACAATGTGGAGCCCAAAGATAAGGACTAGTACGGAAGAAACCGAGAGGGAAAACGTAGCACCAGGCTTACATAGCCTCTCAGCAGATCGGAGGGAAAAGAGGAAGAAAAGGAAAAGGGGTAATGGGTAATTCAGTTACATCACAGCAGGATGCCTATACTGACATCCTGAAATCTCTAAGAAAACCAACTGGTCTGCCTTTGAAGGAACAGATAATGCGACGCCTCCTTGAGAGGGTACAAAGGTACTGGTATTGGTTTAAGCCTAGAAATAGAGAACAGTTGAGTTTGAAATTGTAGAAAAGAGTAGAAAAAGAATTGTGTCAAGCACAAAAAAATGGAGACTTGATCTCAGCGGATGAATGGAGCATCTATAATTGTATTGCTGCTGCCCTGACTTCTTTGCACTTTGACTCTAAATCTGAGGAGCCTTTTCTCTCGTCTTCTCATACGTCTTTCTCCACTGATTCGTCAGTTTTCCATGAAACTTACAGAGAAACTCCTGTCTTAGAGGAACAGAGTGGGGAAGAGTCTTTGATTCAGCCTACACTTTGTGCTGTGTATCTATATTACCTGGTGATTTTCAAGAAGCTAATGAGTTTTATACAGATTTTATTGCCAGACTCCAGGACTCTCTTGAAAAGGCCTTACCTGATGAGGCCCTTTGTGATATGCTTATGTTAACTTTGGCGGTGGAAAATGCTACAGCAGATTGCCAAAAGGCAATTCAGATTTCTAAATTAATGGGTCAAAACTCTCTGGATGATTTTATCAAGAATGTATAGGGAAGTGGGAACACAAACCCATCAGGCGTAATTTATAGCCACTGCTTTTAAGAAAGCTAGTCAGGTGAAATGTTACAGCTGCGGAGCTGTTGGACATTTCAGAAGAGATTGTACTCATGCTAAATCTGGGATAAGGAAAGAACCAGGCATTTGTAGACAATTTGGGAAAGGGAAGTATTGGGCTAATGAATGTTGCTCAAAAAAGGATAAATTTAGAAATCTCATAGATGAGTCACCGGGAAATGGGAGTCAGGGCTCGACCCGGGGCCCCTTCAACAATACGGGAATTGTCAGTAGAAAAAGTTAAATTCCCCTACGATGGTAATAATTGATAAACCTAAGAACATCAACAGAAAAACTATCTTATATTGACCTTACGAGAGCAATGGAAGGAAGTGTAGCCACTGACATTTTGGCTTTACAGGATTTGTTTCTGACTCCTAATAAAATTTAAAAAATTCTGACTAACGTTTATGGACCCCTTCCAAAAGGAACAGCAGGATTAATACTAGGGAGAAGCAGTATGACTTTGCATGGTGTTAACGTAAAAGTAGGACTCATTAACAGTGATTTTGTGTATGAAAT